AACTAAGAACAAAATAAAAGCGGTAGAATTTTTAGACTTATTATTTACATATAAATGTGCTTAGTCATTATTATTCTCTACGATAAAAAAAGAAAGAAATTAATCGTGATAGTAAATAGTATCATTCATTTTAACATAGAAATAGATTGGAGTAAAATACAAAGATGAGAAAAGCCAAAAAGAAAGAAATGAGAAAAAAAAATTAAAAATGCCAAAAATGAGCCATAATTTCCATGAGAATGACTCATCAAAAATTGTTGTAGTAACAGTAGTCGTACTAGGAAGAGTAAAAAAAACAAACAATAATATTTACAGCTCCCATATCCAAATGTTCAATTAAAACTTTGGGGAAAAAAAGAAAGGAAGTTAGTGACTTGTTTTATTGTAGAAAGAATTTCCTTTCCACTTATCTGTCTTTTCAATAGGACAAATATATGCATACATAGTACACGTTCTTTTTTTTCTTTGTTTCAATGTGAACATTAAACTATGAATCGTATAAACTAAGCATAGATAGACAAACAAATGATTTGATATACATCTTTTATGATAAGTGAAGCTCGTTTTATTATAGAGTTATTCATACTTTAGGAAGAGTTTCATTTTGACAGTCATTTGAAGTCATTTTCAGTGATACAGAGAACAAGAATAGGATAGGATTACTAAGTATTATCAACAACATGATTATATGGATTGAGACATGTTCTGAAGTGACTTACTAATTGCTAGGACTGAGTGAAATCAGTATTATTATGAACGGATGAAGTTTTCATAACAACAAGCATTATTGTAAATTCGCACAGCTTGACATCATTGAAGAAGTCTTAAAATTTCCCTCTTCAAAGTTTCCAGAGTCTCAAAAACGCCAAGGAAAGTTTTATGTAAACAACGTTAGATAAAATCTTTGCAAAAACATCTAGAAAATGCAGAATTACGTGTCACAAACTTAATTGAATACTTGCCTATACAGCTACTATATTTATTATAATCCCAGAAATTTCTGAAAGGCCAGGGTCGTGTATAACTCTATAAGTACCCTAGTTTTTCTTTACATAAACTAACCTTGGAGTAAAGCTTTTACTAGTAATTCATGCCTTCTCTCTAGTGCTTCAGTTAACGTGTAGAAGCAGTTGGAGTTATCTGAATCACTTAAGAAGGCAATTTACGCGTATCGGTAGCGAGAGTTATCAACTGGAGACAGCGAAATCACAATGAACATTTCCTGTTGAACAATTAGAGTCCTGTTAGGCATGCCAGGAGAAACGATTTAAACACGCATAAATAAAGATCATGAAAGCTTGCATGAGGATGTGTTTATCCCAGCAAAACCCGATATCCAGTGAGCTGCAAGAGACATACTAATCTTATCATCAATAACATTCATGAATTCAATTTTGATGGTCCAGCTGGTGTTACTTTTGATTCTTGGTTTAGGAAATATGAAGATTTGTTCTAAATTGGTCTCTGAAGACAGCATGATGCCACAAGAGGGGTTATCGAGACTGACTAGGAAGACAGTTTAGGTGTATCGATAGCAAGGTCTATCAGATATCGTTATGATCATTGTAATGTAGCAATACTACGTACTAAATAGCTATGCTTATCGGTTAAGTTGCCTTGTACAATATTATGTATATCGTGATGTTCACTTATCTCCTTGTCTTTTCGTGAAACATACAAGGTCTCTTGAACACTAAGTCAAGGCAAATGTTAGAAACAATTTCTAGAGAAACAGAAAAATGAAGAAACAATACACTCAACGATAAGTAACACTTGAGAAAATTCACATTGAGTCAAACAGGGATGATTCGTGAATTTTATAGTTCGAAACTGGGAGGGGTACCGCGAAATATGGTATGACTACCGTATGCCAATCACTCATAACATACTATAAAAGGAAGTTCTACAACAGGACAGTGGATACTCTTTTATGACCTTAGATCCAACAGTAGACTCCAATATGGAAATTATAAGAAAAGGAATAACACCAGAAAGAAAATTGGAGCTGACATTGTGAAGATCAAACCATTTTCATATAAAATATTAAGAGCGAAAGTATCAATAATGATTAGAAAAAAATATGGTGTTATGGACAAGGATGAGAAAAGAAAAATATTGTTCAGTGGATTAGTATGTGTGTTTTTATTGAGTATTGACCAAATAGTTGTTTTTATGGAATTTGTATATAATCCTAAGCTGTTTCCTTTAACACATTATTTATCACTATCTTTTTGTTTATAGTTACTCAATAATCACAAACATACGACAATTCCTACTTTATACTAAAAAGAACTATATTACTATCCATAATCTATGGGAGAAATAATTTGAAAATAGGTTAGTTTTTGTGTATACATAAAACATAAGTGTTTTGTAGACTTTGTTTACCATATTTTATCTATGTAGATGTAGATGTTTTAAATATATTTAACTGAATGACAATATACTGGTTTAATCTGCTTAAACCATTTCGCTCAAACATTTTTTTAATCGAGTAGATATTTTCATTGTTTAACATCACAAAATAACCTTAATCAGACAACCAATGAGAACTAAGAAGGTTTAGACAGCTACTTCATTTCAGTATGGTATTCATCCATGATCCTACTCTGGGAATCAAAATCACTGAGACCTAGTGGTCATAAGTTTGATGGTCAGTGCTGGAGTCTTATACGTGGACGAAATAGCTATTCAGTGCTTCCCGGTTTTCAGTGGATGTTTTAATTAAGGTCGGTTCGTGAGGTACACTATAGAACTAAAAAAATCTGCAGAAATTCTTCACACTGAGGGCAAATATTGCATATGTAATTGATATGAATAGCCGATCATCATTCAGTATCGGTAACTGACTGAAATTGCAAATACGAATCCTTAGCGAGTGACAGGTTAATGGTCTAAGTGTAGCGCGCTGGCTGCGAGGCCACTAAGTCGTCTGTGAGTGACTTCCAATAGAAAATAACTCTATACCAAAAATCACACACTATAGGAAGGTATGTCTGTCATCTGAACATGATCGTTTCACATCTGTTACTTGAATTAACAGGGCAGCATAAAGAGGGTTTTTGAGTTTTAACATTTCATATATTATAAAAGATCGATAACGTAATCACCTAAGTGTTCTGCTGCATCGATATCAACACTTAAGTTATTTAACTTTGGAAAACAAAATATTGCAGACATTGCTTATACGTGAATGAACACGAATCAATACAAACGGCATGTTGAATGTGCTAAGAAGCGATGGAAAAATCATAAATTTACATAAAACACTTTGTGAGGATGAAATATCAATTTGACTAGCAATAGCAGTAATAAACAACAAAGAAGGAAAAAAATTGTCCAATCAAAGCGAGCATACAAAAGCAAATTAACATAAACATTCTGAGGTCAAGGTCTTTTGAACATTAAGAAGTGCGAATACTCAGTATATAATGAATGTAAGATTCTATCCAAGTTTAAAGTGAAATCAATATTAGCGTATTTCATATAAAAACACTGACAAAGGTACCACCTATCTTATCTGCCTACTTACATAAAGCCATAGAAATGATTCATAATATTACCTTAAATTCATAATTTATGATGCGGAAAACCAATCAACTATTATCACTTATAATAGTAGTCACCAATATGATAGTAGTAAGGTGAATTGAAAAACAATTTCACCATAGAAACCAATTTTATGTTGTTATTCTTTATAATTATGGATAAATGTCAATTGCATATATATTTCCCAAACATGGTAGACATCAAACACATTGTTGTTCAGGGGATACGCTATTTAAGGAATGGAAAATTATAGTATGAAAGAAATCTGTTCAGAATTCATAACTTAACGCCTAGAGACATAAATAATACATAAATAATTATGCAGCCAACTTGACGAACTCATAAGCTATTAGAGATGAAATAACTAAATAAATATTAACACGATGGGCTACGAGTAATAAATTTGTCGATAAGCAAAATACTACTGGCTGATAATATAAGTAGGTTAAATATTTGGATCTCATTGAAAAAATGCCATTCACGAATGTCATTATTATGATCACTGACTGTTATGAGATGAAATAATAATTTAGCATCAGTACTAATGAATAGAATGTATAAATTACATATATGTACATTCAAAAAACAAAGTGTTGAGGCGAATCTAAAAATGCAGATAGTATACGTAATGCCTAAGGAGAAGTAAAGATATGAACGGGAATTCTCAGATTGTTTTATGAAAGACCCGCGTTTGAGCTACTAAACTAAAAGAGGGAAACTTTTGATTAATTTTATGTGCATGTCCGTAGTTGATGAGTTAAATTGAAATGTCAACTTTATACGCTTAGAATTCATCATAGTATTCAATTAAAGAGTATAACATTACAGAGTTACTGTGACTTATAGGATAAAATGTAGTTGACAGAAAAACTCTACAGATACCGAAGCAGAGATCAAACAACTCCAGATAAACATTTATCAACACCACAGTCCTAAAATATAGGCAATTAAAAACTCATAACCTGATATTAATTGAATTATTTGAAGAGAAATGGAAGTTGGTTTCGTAATTTAGCGATCTAGTTTGTTGAATGAGATCCAGACTTATACCTCAGAACCAGATAGACTTTTAAAAGCCAAATTATAGCTTCTTGTTCGAGTCATATGAAATGAATTAAAATAGAACAGAATATGTCAGCTAACTATTTACATGTTATAATAATCGTTATTGAATACTACAGTGGTTTGTGATTTTCCGTTGTTGATATTCAGGACACTCACTGGTTATTCTCTGTTGTCATATGTAGATCTTCATTGAAATACCTCGATATAGAATTACACAACACGTTTTTGAACATATTTTACGTATGGTTGGGAGTGGAATCTAGGATGCGTGTTTCATCTAGTTAGGAATAACTCATCAGTTAAATATTGATACTCAATACCACAATTAGTCAATCACTGCTGTCATATGAACACCATGAGCGGATTTAATAGTAGTAGTAAATTATACGGAGAAAATTATATATTCAAAATGTATTTATGAAGAGAATCACATATGAGAAGAGACAGAGAGTAAACATAATAATTTCTGTTATATACAAAAGAGTTATACAATTTAATTACAGTTAACAACATAATTGAGTTAGTAAGTAAAAATGACTATGAATATTTTGGATAAATACATTCCATAATAGTTGATGTGATAAGTGTTTACCACACATACATACATACAAATCTAACTAAAGAATGAAAGAGAAATTTAACAAAAACAAATCATACATATATATATACTCTGTCTTAATGACATAGCATAATGTTATAATACAAAACATGTATCTAAGCCGACAAAACAAATCGATTTCATGATGTATATGTGTGCGTTTGTTTTTTTCTCAGAATAAGATAATTGTAAAGATTTTGTTCCATCAAAATAACAATAAAGTCTTCTATAATCACTTCTCTATTGATCATTTTGGTTTGAATTGCGAGAAAGTCGTCATAAAAATAACTAATTGTCAGGTGATTTTATGCATAAACAACCTTTGTTTATTTTTTTCATAGAAGAAAAAAAATCAATCTCAACAAGAAGATACGAGAATAGTGAAAACAGTTCAATTCAAAGATTGTTTTTACCAACTGAACAAGATGGCACTACGTTGGATTCGTGACAGTTTCTCGTATATTTATATATATATGTGTGTGTGAGGTGCTAAGGTATACCAAGAATTACAAGAACATTAATAAGAAGGAAATATTACCAATTAATACGATCAATTCTTGAATCGCGGTAATCGAGAACAATGTACAATATAATCAGAGGTCATCGACACAAGATTCTGTACACTTCACAAGTATGTGCACCTATCAAATAGTTTATACAAGATCGATAGGCTGATGATCAACTGATAAAGTTACAATAACATTTCACTGACCACTGATAATTAATCAAGGAGTCAATAAACATAAATGTCTTATTATTATGATAGATTTTCAGTGAAATCAATTAGCAATTTGACGTGTAGAGCAATAATTATACCTGATAGAGTTTTAATTTTTAATTGATGTATAATGAATGACGTACAGAACTTTTATTCAATAATTATCAATGCTTTAAATAACAATCAATCACTTTTTAAAATTCAATGTTAAAGATTTAGGACCAGAAGAATGGAAATTCCATTCAGGTAACCAATGCAGTTGCTTTCTTTTGGCATTATAGTTTAGTTTGAAGTCAGTCGGCTACAAAGTAGTACCAGGCACATATATGATCCGGTCCAGGTAGCCACATATCATTAGCACAACGAAATGAACATCCAATTCATGGAAGTAGTTACTTCACTGGTAGTAATATACAAAAGAAAGATTGCGACAAGGAAATGGCACAGGAAAAAAGAATTAGTTGGTAGAAAGAAAGACAAAGCAGTTTTAGTCTCACAGTTTAAGGAAAGACAGGGTGTATACACCTACGCCATTGTGATCGATTCTGAGCCATGTTACCCAGAGACTCCAACAATTGGTTTGAAGGCATGTGTGTATATTTATAACGCGATTAGTACTTGTTTGTGGGATTTTTGGCCTATATGTAATTCAAACTAAAACTTAATACAATAGAAAGGAATATACAGAATGGTTGACGTTCCGCTTGGTGCGAATAAACAAGGACTAACTTGAAGAGAGTAATTTTATCCTTGACTTTGATGAATAATTTAGAAAATAAAAATTCAATAATTTCAACATATTAGTTTTTGAATGGTGTAGTTGGGTGGTATTTTGTTAACACTATTGGCCTGCGCATGCACAGAAACAAGGTGGCTTAAAATCTGTTCTTTATAAATGAGCTATATTTAAACAACTGGTTAACAAAAACAAAAATATTTCAGTGTCAAACAACAAAATCGATGAATTCATGATATTAAAGAACCAAAAATTGGTTTGTAGACATTTAATTACACATGACACGGGTAAAGAAAATGTGGTTGGTAAATATTGATAATATTAAATTGAATACAACACGGACACTTGTGTCAGGAGAACAAGAAATCAATAATACATCTATAAAACACCATAGTGTTTATCACCATGCACAAAAAAGTGTGTATAGAAGAAACATGGAAAGGTATTTGTTGTGTTTTATGAATGTTGAATAACAAAATTTGAGTTGATGATAATAATGTTGATGTAAGTAGGGAAAGATGGTAATAAGTGAAAAAATTGTCTGGCATTAGTACAATGATAACTATTAAGATGGTAGGATTATGTAATATTATGCTTTTAGGAGCGATTGTAGAAACATGTATGATCTTATTACTCTCTCTAGATACACAAATATTTCTAAAACCACACGGGATTATTCATGCAAAAAAATAAGATGACCAAGATATCTGATTACTCGATTTGTCAATGTCAACAAAGAAACTAAAGAGGTTATAAGAGAAATTTTGATGACTAATTATCAGTTACTTGATGGTTCCTATTTGGAGTGTATTTCCATTACGAACAGTATGAAATAGATATCGGAATTTTCATTTTACATTTGATAACCATTAAATATATTTTTTACAAACATTGACAGGTTAGGGCGGTGGAACAGTATGAAATTTGTCGTATCCGATAAATGGAAATTTTCTAAGTAATAATTTGAATTTCAGTGAAGAGGTATAAAAACTGCGATGATTTAATTTTCATAAAAAGTAACAACGCACTACAGGATGACAATTACACACACATTAAACGCAATTCAATCCAGCATATAGCTCTCTAAGTACATGCACCATTGATAATTTAACGTGTGGCAGAAACTTCTGGTGTTTATCATTATTGTCAGTGTAGGGTTTATGAAGATTGTTGAGTTTGATTGAGATCCTAAAACTGAAGCCCTGAACAGCTATCTTGTCATGGTATGGCACTCGTCAGAAGTGAGAATTTATGACCCTGCATGCGGGAATCGAACACTGGACCTTCGGTCTCGGGCGCGAACACTTAACCTTCAGACAACTGAACCGGGATCCAATGGTGTTAATGTCGAACATTCACAACCGTATACTGAAAACTGTGTTCTCACTGGTGAATAGTTTTGAGAGGTAAATTTCGGAGGTCTAGTGAGAAGCCGTTACCAGTGGATTTCAACTGTGTAGGATGCGAGGGATTTACCTACTGAAAACGCAATAATGTGGATTAATTGAAATTAGACATTAAAACCGTTAGATACCTGCTCGCTGGTCTAGAGATTAAGTGTTCGCGCTAGAGACCAAAGGTCCAGGGTACGATTCCCTTGTGCAGAGTCGTGGATGAGCACTGCTGAGGAGCCCCACATCAGGACGCGGTAGACTTCCAGTGATTCCAGGTTTTCAATGATGGTCTACCGTTTATCATCATATTCCTACTAGGATACATGATAATTTCAAAGGCTTAATATCTAATTTAAATAAGAAAAGTGCAGATCAATCCATGGAATCAAACAATTACTATTTTTTTACAGTCATGAGCCAATAATCAACTGGGGGACAATAAACATTTATTCCATCCTGTGCGAATCAAATGACATAATAGTAAAGGAATATAAGTTACAAAATAAATTGCACGAGTTGCGAGAAACATCATACGGGAAAAAATGGGCGCTCCCTTCACCCACACATAAATGGACAAGCACTAGCAATGAGGTGGAATGATTATACAATTACTGGTAACAATGCACGCAGGTAACCACTGACATGAATTCGACCCGGAAAAGTCAAAATTTTGGGTTGCGGAAACTCCAAGAATATCTAATAATTACTAGAAGCATAGCGTCCAGAATAATTGGCAATCAGTTTATGAACCTTTGTGAAAGAGATCAATCAATCAGTCACAAAACCAAAGGGTTAACAACAAATACAGTTAACGTGAATTCAAAGGCAAATGAAGAAGACAAAACCGACAAACATAGCCAATAACAGGCAAGGGTCATTAAAATGAACTGATACAACACTTATAGAATAGCTAAAAAGCTTACATCTACATAAATTTAGGAGGTGAAGATATTGTCCAGAATGACAATGAAAGCTCCAGAATTAAAGCATTTAGCTTAGAAAACTCAATACTATCAAAAACAATGAACACTCCTCGTAAGAAGATAATCTTACATTTTTGACATACAAGTTGTAGTTTGAATACTGAGGTTCTATGGTTTCTTGCAAGTAGTTCAATTTTCTGTCACATAGAATATTGTTTATAATTACTAACATTTTCAAATTTATTTACAGAAATATAATGTATAAAAAGAAAAACAAAAAATTCATGTAAATATTAACGCTCTTTTATATCACAAACTTTAACCCAAATCTAAATTTTGGCAAATTATAATAGGATGAACACTCATTGGTTAGTTGATATGAAATAATTACTAACATCAACAACGAAGAAACATTGAAAGGAAGAGTAAACAGTAGATGAATACAACCACCAAAATAAAAGGATAAATAGAGTAAAAAAACATCCCAAATATGCATCTGGTATATAATATTGACTAAAGAATACTGAACGATGATTCATTCATTTGTTGTTATTTTATTTATTTTATTTTTGGAAACAAGAGAGGACAATAGATGTTATGTGATAGATAGTGAATGAGATAAGAGGCGGTTAACAATAATAACATTGATAATAAGGATAGTAATAATACTAGTACTTATAAGAGCACTAACTGAATTGTAATTCTCATATTAGAGTAAATATACTTGTAAACTATTCAGTGAATACAAGGAAATAATATAAACAAAAGGCGTGGTTCTTTTTTTTAAAAAAACTAATTTATAGAATGTTTAGAGAAAACATTCAAGAAATTTATTGATTAAGAAAATAAAACAGTTCATGATGAGGATTTATTATGCTTTGAATATATATTTATGGACCTTTACTGATAGTATACAGGTAATTGTACAAAATAGAGTAAACTAAATTATTAGAAGTCATCGAAGTAGTTATTATGATTAAGAGTTCTTTGACATAACTTAATGTTCCAGGTTTGATCCCTAGTAAGGTCTTGGAGTGCACACTACTGAGTCCTATACTAGGATCAATTAGATATCCAGTACTCACAAGTTTTCAGTAAGATTATTCTAAGGCTAACATAAACTACAAATTAAACATAGCTCCATAAAACTTCTAAGACTAAAACATATTTGTGTATAACGAATAAAACTGAAGGAAAATGTATAGGTTAATAGTTAACTACTGACATAAATAAAGAATCTGTCACGCAGAAACTCAGTTGTGAATTGAATAACTCAATGTCAAGATCTAAGGGCTCCAAATGCCCTGGTACGGTCGAGGGTGGGGAGATTCCAGCTCACCTCTCGAAATGCCCTCAAATGGTCACGCGTATATAGCAATTGTCAGAGAATCCCCGCTCACTGCCTTCTCAGGGAAGGGGTTTTGTTACGAAATTCAGAGGACGAAAAGAGAATGTTTGGCGTGAAAACCGAGTTGGTGAATACGGAGAATCCACGTAGGTGAGTTGGAAAACCCTCATTTCAAACCAATGGTGTATAAACCAATTGTTAGTCACTGACCACCATGAGACTGCATCTCCTAACGTTGCCCCACTGCCTTGTGGACCTCTAGGCCAAAAACTCGAGGAGTGGCCCTCAAGAAAGCCACCTGCTTTGGTCTGGGCACACGGCAGTATTCCAGCCCTTATACAAACCAAATGACGAATTGTGGCGCACATTTGGTGCCCTCTTGTATTAATGTTTATGTGTTTAAATAAATAAACAGAACAAAATCTATCACTAATTGATTGAATAATTAAGATTTGAAGATATATCGGTTACACAAAAGTTATTGTTAGACACGGCTAATGGTAAGTACTAACTGGTATGAAACCCATGTCACGGAATTTTTACAGCTTAATACATAAGTACTAAGAGCAAAATTTAAGAAAAAATGATTAATTAGATTCAGAATTCGAAGAGAACGGTGATGAGAAATAATTTTTTAAAAATGATTTCACTACTAGACTAGTTCCGTTATTTAAAAAATAGCTCAGTAAGTTTTGTTTATGAACTGTAAAACAAATGTTATAAGTTGTAGAATATTTAAGTCTGAGCAAGAAGAAAGATGAGTTTTTTGGTAGTCATCATTTGGCAAAGGTATAATGCACTGGTGACCTTGAAAGGCTAACCAGACAATCAGGAAGCGCTACACCTTTATAAGATAATTAACAATAAAAAACAGTGGAACAACAGCTTGACTTAGATAAATTATTCTTTACAGTAAGTGAAAAAGGTCAAGTTTACATAAATACATACATATTAGGAGCAGCGCTGGTATTCTGAGGTAGGCTTATCACCTAATGGAGTTTATGTCACCACATGACATTGGTTGTAATGTAATTAGGTTAGGGTTAGGTATTAAGAATAAGGTTGGAGTTTTCAATTGGACTTAGAGATTAGGGTTGAGGCTTTCGTTACCAACTGACATCAGTTATAAAGCAAAGCTTTGCTACCCTTTTGTTTACAAATTTAAGAAACTTAGGGTTGAGATTTAGAGAGAGTTAAAAAGGGAGAATATTATCTAGGTTCACTAAACACTCTTGATTATGCATTGAATCACACTAAGCACTTTAACTCATAATCTTCCTTAAGAACAGGTATGCTTTGTCATTTAGCTGAAGCACCATCTTAAATTCATATCTGGTTGGATAATATTGATTTTGAGCATTTTAAAAGTCAATTATTATCGATTTTTATTTAGTTAATAATAACAAGTTATCTATCACCATAAATCAAACATCGCGTAAAAGACATGAAGAGTTACCTTAATTTTGATCGGTTAGTTCACGGCTATTAGTACGTTATACCTTTACTCATCTTTCTATTCCAGGTAATATTGCAGACAGTAGACATAAATATTTATGTAATGTGATTATAATGAAATCAGATGATGAGTAGAACACTTTGTAAAAATAATTACATCACCGAGTCAGAAACGGAACAGAGATTAACAGTCGTGTAAAAAGTTATGTAGATACTTAAAAGATAAAGTGTATCATTATGTATCAGTTTGATGTCGGATGCTTTCGACACCACTCAATCTACAAGTATGGAACATCAATATACTAAATTGTATAGTCTTTAGTTTCTTGGTATCTTGTTTAGGTGTAGAAATAATTTTAGATAAATCGCTCCATTTGCTTTTAAAAAACTTAATGATACAGTAAAAAGAAATCTATGGCAACGATGTAAAAGTAATACAATTTTATCTACGTGAACATCTGTACAATGGGCTTTGAATTATACTTTTTATAGAAGGCTTAGTGATATTGCCCCCAAATGCCCTGGTACGGCCGAGAGTGGGGAAAGTCCGCTCTCCCTCTCGAAATGCTCTCACATGGCCACGCGTATATAGCCTCTGCCAGGGAAGTCCTACTCACTGCCTTCTCGTGGCGGGGGTGTTATTTACAAAAATGAGAGGACGAAAAGCGAATGTCCGGCGCTTTAACCGGATCCCAAACTGATGGTGCACATGGGCTCCAGTATCCTGCGGGAACAAATGGCGTATGAACCAATCGTTGGTCACCGGCTACCATGGGACTGCATCTCCTTACGATGCTCCACTGCCTTGTGGGTCAGACCTCTAGGTCAAAGGCTCGGGGAGTGGCCCCCTAAGAAAACCACCTGCTTCGGTTTGGGCACCCGGGCAGTATCACACCCCTCGCACATATCGAATAAGATTTGTGTGGCGCATATGTATTTGGTGCTTTCTTGTACCAATATCTATGTGTTAAAATAAATAAATAAAATATTGCTTTGACCAGTGAGTAGTGACCAATGTCATAATATTTGTCTGATCCTTTAATCCTAATTAAATCACTAAGTAGTGGTAATTATTGTCAATCATGGATTAACCTGGGCTTTTACACAACAGGAGTAAAGTTTCACACATGGTACACAGAGTCTGACTCGGCTGACAGAAGTTGCATTAAATCAGATGGAAGTTAGCTTATACACTACGGTCAAACCCTTTATATAAGGACGTGATAATAATAAGGGCTAATTTGTAACCGGCTAATCGTTGATACATTGATATATTAATATATATAAAGCATATTATATCACAATTAGCGCCAGGGTATTCACATACCTCAGTCAATAAACCACTATTCATAAACACAATCTAATGGTAAAAACTATTAAATGTAGGAACTTTATACAGTTACATTTGATGAATATTAATATTTCAATTGAACTGAAAAATTAAGATTACACATGAAAGGAGCATCATTTGATACGAAGTACTCATGACTATATAACGTGAGTTATATATATATATATATATATATTCTAAAAGCACTTACCCAGCAAACGCAACAATTAATCGTTTAATTAAAGATTCTTCGTCATTAGGAATTGATTTGTTATGAATAAAGAAGTGTTTATTCATAAATATATCGGGAAGACTGTTCATAAGTGATTCTTTAATAGTTTCCTCATCCTCATCTTCATGAACGACCGACAACTGATTACGACTCGATGTCATGACTCTATAGGAAATGAAAAAAAACAAGACGGAGAGGATCATTCGTTAAACAAAAAAAGACAAATACAAAAGATACTGATGGGAAAACCGTTCTAAACTCACACTGGATAAACGTTACCGGAAAATGTTCAGTGATGACTAAGCGTTATTATCAAATCCATTTAGCAAAACTGCATTTTGTTGAGATGATCGACCAATCTGCGTTAGACAATTATTAGAAACCTGGAAGTTTTGAACAGCTGTTACATCTTACTATGACACTCCTCAGAAGCGCGCATCCACAACTCCACTAGGAAGGATCGAAGACGAGAGTTTCAGTATCGTGAATGAACGCTAAGCATCTAGACCACTGAGGCCCTATTCGATGGTATACAAGTATAATTTCAATCAATTCGCGATATTGTGCAACCATCTTCGATTGTCGTTAGTGAGTACTTTACTTATACCCGATACCGTTGAGCTTTACTAATGACAGCTTATAAATAGGACTCCGATAATTTCCTTATGAAATCGGTCACCAGTGAACACATGATACTTATCAATATGAAATTGTACTGATTCATGAATTTAACAGAATTCATCAATCTCTACAACCTTCATATTGCTGAAACTGTGTATTTTTTAGGGAATTTACTGAGAATTGGCGGAATAGATCAAGTAATCTGCAGTGATATCACACCGAATAACCTTAATGTTCATTCAAAATAGTCAATTGGTCATTACTTTCTATAGAAAAAAATAAAATGGTTGTTTGAAACCTAACCACTAAAACAAACCGAATTACGGATCTCTGATATATATGAGAACTTGTGAAGCGTAAGTTGTTTGTACGATTTTATATGTACTGGCATTTAAGCTCATACAGATGACGAGTCCCATGTAGGAAGAAACGTGCGTCCTGGATTTCACTGTTTGTTATCATCCATCTCTGCTTAAAAACATCTATAAGACATTTCGACTCAAGATTCATCAAACCATGTTTACTGGTTAATCAACTTTTTATTATTCGATTGAACGTTAGAACCACGTTGCATTATCCACTTTAGTATACCCAGAAAAATATTAACGCTAGCTCATTTACAGGAAATAGAATAACTCAAAGATAAGTGTAAACTGAAATGTTGATGATGTGAATCTTTGAGGTTTATTGCAAATACAATATTCATTTGTGCTTGAAAAGTAAACTAATGATTAAATCTATAATTTGTAAAATATTTTTTATTGTTGACTAAAGTCAGTTGGGGGACTGTTTCGAAAAATGGTAGGCACTGAACTGCTTTGTTTAGTCTCAGCTTGGATTTCCTCAATAGGGGAAAAGACTATCTAATTATCCAGTGATGTTCAATAGTTCTTAATGAAAACCGACTTTAAAAAATTTCTACAACATGATGTAACTTTTATTAGTATTGGTGTGTGTGACAAAGAGAAATCGATCGAAAAAGCAGATTCATTCGAAACACAGATATATGAACGAATGTTCTTTCCAATCGCTTCTTTTCAGGTCCCATAGTTATGTTAATAATACAACAAGTAGTCAGGTTTAAGGTAAATATATCATTGAAAATAATACCATGTGAATTTAGGGTTGTTTGCAAAATTGAATAAGATTGTTAGTGAGCGTTGCCGAGAAGTTATATACTAGGACGAAACGACCGTTTAGTGTTTCCAGGTTTTTAACGGTGGTCTAGCTCAAATCACCTTGTGATTTAAACCTTGAAAATATGAATAGGTTTATATGCTAAATGAAATTGTAAGATTAATGATCAGAATAAATATGGGTAACACAGGAATACGAGAGATAGCAATATAATTATAAATCAAAATAAACATTTGGTCAAGGATTATGTAATATATGGAATAGCGTGAATCAGATAAGAAATCGTAGATGGGGTTAAGTACTAAATAACATGATGGGAATTTTTTCCTTAGATTTATTTAGTTAAATATATTTATCTGACTTGCTAACTCTTGTCAGTGCATAACAATTACATAAACTTATCAAGTATTACACTATTGAAAATGTTTATAGTAATACTAATAAATATGAATAAATGTGCGTTTTTAAGATCTTATAATGATCATATGCAGAATGAAATATAAAATAAACATAAAGCACAGTTATATTTTTTTATATGGAGACATAATAGGATATAGTTTTCAATGTAGATTTTGTTTACAATATTCTAGTTAATGAAATAAACAATTCCTTTCAGAATTCTACATACAGAACAATTCATGAATATGATGATATTTGCAGTATTACTTGTAATAAACCAAGTTAAGAGAAAAAAGAAACAATCATGAATTTTACATATTACAAAATTTTTTAACTTTATTCAATTCAGTAAATATAAACTGTAGAAAGTCAATATAATGATTTGAAAATTGACAGTTCGTTATGAAGCTTGAAGATTTTTTGTTCGTTTGCTGGTAGATGAAACAGCTGATCGATATGTTTCCCACTTTTTGAAATGGTTATTTAAACAAAATCAGCCTGTAATGTGAAACTATAACTTAGACTTATTTTGGTCTATTTTATACAACGGAGATAAAACTGTACAAACAAACTGGTAGAAAGATATAGACAAGGTAGGATGCTGCTAACTTGTTGAAATAAATACTAAATACTCATTTTTTCACTATTTTTAAATATCTTGGTAATATTACCATTTGACTAGAGAAAATAAAACAGACAAGAGAGGGATAGGAATGAAATGTAATAGATGTTTACCCTTGGCAATCAAGAAATTCCACTAACTGATAAGTGTATAATTAAAATCGTTTTGGTTCATGCTTGTGACAATCCAAGTCACATATTAGGTATTATCAATTCGAATAAACAATGAAAAGACAATAATCATGAATCAGAAAAGAAACGAAATCTCAATTTTTGAGTAGTTCAAGGAAAATAAAGCTAAAAATTATTCAACTCACCAGTTGGCTTTAAAAATTTATTCACAAGTATTTCCACTTATATTTAGCTAAGTTAAATAAACCAAAAAATGAGTTTTTTCGCAGAAGTTACTTAATTGAATAGTTTCCATGTGCCAACGAATAACAGACCTACTTGTGTGAATTTATAAAATTGTTAGTCGGAAGTTATGAACAGTGGACTTTAGCAACTGGTTAATCAAACAGTATTAGTTGGAAAAAATCTGAAATTTTAATTCTAGATTATTGGATCACAACTGAATGGTTTACCGTATCGTGTCCACCCTGAGGCTTCAAGATGATGGAGTTTGATTTAAGATAAGGGATAAAAAGTTTTTACAACTGAATGAAATAGCTGTTCAGAATTTTCCAGGTTTTCAATGATTCGCATTATGATATCAATGAGATGTCAACTATCTTCAAGTTATAAAGTTCGTTAAAAATAAAACATAATCGTGTATTCCAAGAAAATACAATATTTTTGAGATTGTAAACGGTGACTTTTAATGTGGAGTTACTTAACATCACGGTATGACGTGCGAACTTATAACCTGGCCAGAGACAGAATCTAGAACTCCTAAGTGGAGGATCACGTTAGACGTAAACTATTAATCAGCATTTAATGGACTACATTGTTAAACTTAGTCAATTTGTAATAAAAATTTAGTGTTCTTCAATAGTCAATAGTTTTTATGCTGACTTAAGTCCCTTTTTAGAAACACACCTAGGATTCAACACAATTAGTCATGAATTTTTATTTGATTTTATAGGTTGTGCGACATTATTGGATTAAATTCAGGGGAGAAGCTCTGGTAAATAACAAATCTCAAAAACGTTTTCTAATCAACCAGTTTTAGGATGACAGTAATTTACTTGTAATAAGTGGTGGTATAAATATCTATTTACCATAAATAGGAAGTGAAACTTGGTTAGAGTCGTTTTTATATTGTAAGGAAAATGTATTAGATAAGGTTCTATTTTCAAACGTTTGGAACTTTATGTTTTATTCACAGTATACGATAAAAAGTAGACACAAGTTAACTACAAAAAATTATAATTTATGTCAGAAATATCTTATGTAATACAAACTGGGAGGTAAATGTTAACGGCTCATAGAATAATACTATAGGTAACATCATTTATTTAAATTACTGTTTGGAATTGTAACTTTTTAAGTGAAAAATTTTCTGAAAATTTGATCATTTAACTTAATTACACTACGTGTGATAGATAGAAAAAGATTCTACGAGAAGGATAATTTCTATGAATTTTAGAAGTAAAAGTATTTGATAATGTAAAACAACTCATCTTACAATAAAATATTTATCACATCAAACTTTTCATTATAGGCGAAAAAGATTAGAAGGGTTTCTTAATATGAAACAATACATTGTGGTGGGGTTTATTTGGAACCATATATATATTGATTCAAATGGAAAATGAAGTAGCTATTCAGCTCTAGTGAACAAACCTCATGCGATCAGCAGTATGAAAACGAGCTACCACCAATACTGGGAAAAATACATTAACAGTTAACCCCTGAAGATCGTTTTTGGAATAGTGTGATGTAAAAAAGTCGAGCTGATAAAAGCCACAAAGCAAACTTTCTGTTATGCTAATCTGACTACTTAAATGAATTTATAAGTAAACGATAAACCTTTCTTGAAGCTTGGCTTCAGTTAGGATCATATTATGCTGAGGTATATTACACAACAACTTATCAATTTAGCCAGCATTTGTTCATATTTTTATACACGGACCAAGCCTCTAAAGTTAAAAATTACAATTTAACATAACTCATTTTGTGGTCCCAAAATACACACGAACATGTTTTAAATATAACACTAAATGTCTAAAATCAGTGATGTTTTACAATCGTAAAGTAGTCGGGGAATAAACTGAACTTTAAGTGTTTCATTAAGCGGTTGGATTTCATATGAGGAGATGAATGTAACTAATGCATTTTCTCGAAGTAATTTTAAGAAATGAAAACTTCAATTCTTTAATTTCGCCAATTCACTTCATTTATTTACCACCTAGAAACGATATTATTAAAAACACATGCACACAGTTTATGTTTTGTTATCACACATCCCTGGGTATATTCTACAGGAGTTAAATCAGTTTTCTGTTAGATAATGGAAACGATGTTCACATTTCAAAATCCTTCAAAATAATCAACTAGCAAACAACTGCGAATGTATTACGTTTTGCCGAAGTCACCAATATTAAAACGTTATTCGATAATTTTGTTGTTTGATTATATTTTTCTTGAAAAAGCTTGGACCAGATTGCCAAGCGAAACGTTGGATTTACTTCAAATTCTTTCGCTGAGATTTTACAAATACATTCTTCCTCTTTAATGACTCACATTAACTCGACGACCAAATATTGTGAAACTATTCGTTCAAATTTAGACGAAAGTTCTTATTTGTTATTCTCGTACAGCTTAAATGTTTTTCGTTTTCAACATTTAACTGGATGACATCTTATTTCATAATTTTAGTTATAAATTGCTTTTATAAATACAATTTTTCCCATCGATAAATTTGAGTAAAACCAGAACAAGCAACGTAGCAAAATAACATGAATTCATTAAATCTCATGTCTCATCAACAACTTACAACTAGACATAATAGTATGAATCATTAAAAATCAGTGTACATAGTTTATACTATAAATAATGAAAGTGATCACAGCAGTGGAGGTTAATGAAAAAAGCCTTTACGTACCTATTAATTTATTTTATTATTAAAATAAGAAAGGTTGGTTCAGCGAAGAGTTCTCTTTTCAATGAATTCATTTTCACAGCTGTACAACCGCAAATATGTATACTTATTTTTCAGAATGATAACAATTACAATAATTACAGTAATAGTGATGATCAACTGTAAAACATGGTAACAGTGAGGTATAAAAAACAAAGATATAAAAATTTTTTTAGCCAGGGGTTTAAATATTCATCATGAAAATATATAAAGAAATTACAATTGGGAAAGGATGGCTCAGCATGATAAGATAAAATGTTGAAATTGAGATGAAATGTAGTCAAGAGGATCATAAAGACAAAAATAAATCAGTTGGGGGTAGAACGTCTATGTTTAACAGAATTTTATTATCACTATTATTGTAATTATTATCAGCCTGAAAAGATATATATATGATTGTACAACTGTGAAAATGAATTCACTGAAAAGAGAACTCTTTACTGAGCCAATCTTCTTTATTTTATGTTTCAATGAGTATATTCCATATGTTATTGTTGTAACTTTTAAGATCGATTTTTCATCTTCAGACATGTCTTTATGAACTTTTCATATTATTTAACATTAATAAATTCATATATCCATAAAAATTTGTCATAAGTACTAAGTTCAACTTTCATTCAGATGAAAATCCACAGATATCACAAGATAGCGTGAAATATGCAAATTTTTCGAACTAATTGCATCAAGTATATCTAGTTGAAACGAATGCTTTTCGATAATGATCCAGGTTACGGATTAATGTACTATGATGGAAGATACGCGTATTAATTACAGCATTAGGAAAAGTATGATACCTAATTGAATGTTCAATACATGATCTACTACAATTAATGAATTTTATGGACGTTCAAAAGTAAAGAATGATAAATACTTTGGCATAAATAGAGTTATATATTTTCATCGTTATTTATTAGTCATACAAATGAATGGAAGGTTAAGTGATCTCTAACCAAATGAACACGTTATTGTAGTGATAATAGATTGATTTGAAGACGGAAGAACTGATTAAATAACCGTAAAAAAATAATAATGCGAATCGTTTGATTGTTGATCGAAGCAAGACAAGTATTTCCCATAAATAACCAAATAAACAACGTGTACAACTCTTTCATCATAATTCTCAATCTAACTTATCTTAAATACATGTATTATGTATTAATATCATCATACACTTCGCTCAACCTCAACGGTGTATAGTATAGTTAAGTTCAATCCTTAAATTATTTCCAGGGTGATTTCAGGATACAGAAGTAAACGACTTAGATGCCATAAGCATTTGGATTTTTAAATGAAAAAAATGAAATTGAAAATGTTAATTAATGTGAAATCATTTTTAAAGAAAAAGGAACACGCTTTTCCCATAGAAAAAAGTCTACAAACCTTTGAATTTCATCATCTGTATTTTCATCTTCTGGATCGTTAGCAGTCACTGGAAATAATAATAAAAATCATGAACGATAATAATTAATGTGGATGTAGATGGAAGAGATGTTTTCAACAAGTATAACTTAGCCGACAATTACTAGTTTATAAACTCGGTTTGAAGCTGTTTTTGATTTAGGTTAATAATATATCATCTGACTGCCGAAATCGAAGCAGTTGGAATAAATTTCGAGCTTCATATATAATGGTAGAAATTTAAATGATTTAAGCACCCTGTCACCATTCTCCACTTAGCCAGTTACAAACGACATAGAACCTGGAGTGAATGGTCATCAGTTCAAGTTGCCATATTTACTATTAACACAATGAGACAAAACTAACGGGACAAAAATTAAAACAATCGAAATAATAAGAAAAACACTGGATAAGACAAATAAAACCAAAGAAAAAGATGCATGATGTAATATTGAAGCTGAAGATTTAGTAGAAAAAAGAATGAGTAACTGGATTATTAAAGAAGTAGTTCAGAGATGAATAGGGTAATTATAATACTTAAAGGTATCAGTTAATTTTTGCTTGTAATGCTCGTAACTTAGTGGGAATATCAAACACTCCATATAGGACGGAAATATGCCAAAGAGAGACTGATCAGCTGCAGTCTATAAAATCAGTGGGAAGATTCAAGCAACTAATATGAATGAATTACACTTCAGCCCATCGCACAAGCCTGTGGCTATCTGCGCTTATTAGCTAAGCGAATAGGGTGAATGGCACTGGGTTCGAGTCCCGGGGTGAACATCAACTCGGGTGTAGAAACATCCAGCTGACAAGTCCCTTGTTTGCTACTATCGATCTCTCTTGACATATTAACAAAATTAATATACTATGCGGAGTAATATAACTTTGTTAAAAAGGTGAATGTAAACGTTAGGGAAGTAAGGGTAAACTGGTGAGTGTTGCGAATAAGGAGAATAAGAGCAATTGGGAAAAAGGTGGCAGGAACGGCTGTAAAAAATTCTTTTGAACACAAAGATTGAGTTTATTAAGATGGGTACAGGAGGCTTCATGCATATAAAATAGACCAATATATAAACCATGTGGCAATCTAAATGAGACGGAACTTTTAATCACATTCAATTGTTCAGAACTCCAGTCGTGTATCGAAGTAATTGTCCATACAAGGGGGAATCGAACTGATGGTTGCCCATAGAGGAAGCAAGTTAAGGCAGCATATCATTATTTCTGGCTGTAAGGATGGGACGATTGTTGGATAGTTTGTAGCTTAGATACAGGAACGTTATTTTGGAGCCTTTTCAAAAAAGCTTGTTATTATTTAACTGGGAATGCTGTTTATGAACTCGAGTTTCAAGAACAATGATCTTTTTGAAACGGTTATCGAGTTTAGCTTTGTATCAGCCTTGTTTATATGCTTGTTCACAAATTTCATCGGATGTCCATTCATACTATGTCAAAGATAATGGTTGGGTCTTTTACTATTTTATTCTTAACCAAACTACACTATCATTTCGTTTTTCATTTAAGATGAAAGTAATTGATGAATGAATACTGTTAGGTTTTTTACAGTATTCACAAATGTAAAGCAGAATGGTAATATATTTCATATAATTTATTCCTAAAAGATAACTAGTTATGTATGGAACGAACAATCCTTACTAGCTCAGTTGATGTGCTTATTGGATAAATTATAAATAAACATTTAAACACAGCAAAAACGGGGTTCGCAGAATAAAATGAATTCATTCTATTTCACGACTTCTCATCAGCTGCAAACAACAATCGTGGATGCGCACTGCTGAGGAGTCCTGCACTAGGACGAAACGGCCGTCCAGTGCTTCCAGGTTTTCCATGGTGGTCTAGCTTCAACTGACTCATGATTTCAATAAGTGAGATTTAAAATTAGTATCAGAAGGGGTTTGTGGAGATTGTAGTAATTTCAATAGTTATATTTATATTAGTAATTGTAATTATTAACAAATGTTTAGCATACATTATTTTGTGAAGTTCAGATAAATGTTCGAAACGTAACCATAATTATAATAAGCAAAGATGGATAGTGGCTAGCAGTGGAATCCAGGACGCGCGTTTCGTCCTGTTTGGGACTCGTCAGCTGGATGTACCTGCACATATGCCAATAAGAGACTGATCAATTTCAGTCCAAAAACTTCAATGGGAAGATTCAAGTAAAACAATATCAAGTGAATTAAACTTCAACCCATTGCACAAGCAAGTGGCTATCAGGACTCAGTAGCTAAGTGGATAACGCGATGGCGTTTGAAGCGAACGGTACTGAGTTCCAGTCCCAGAGTGAACATCAACTCTGAGATGCAGGTACATCCAGCTGACGAGTCCCAAACAGGACGAAACGCGCGTCCTGGATTCCACTGCTAGCCACTATCCATCTTTGCTTATAATGCTTGTAAATTAAGGCAATATCGAGGCATACGCACAGTATGCACATATGCCAATAAGAGACTGATCAATTTCAGTCCAAAAACATCAATGGGAAGATTCAAGTAAAACAATATCAAGTGAATCATAATTATAATAGTTAGAAGAATAGGAATACAAAGTGTATGAATAAACATAATCAAGATCGATGTGTATTTTTATATGTTGGGAAGTAATGATTAAGAGGTTATATAAGGGTAATGAAATTAATAAGTGATTCGGTAATTACGCAACATGATAAAATAAACAAATATGTGAACATCAATTAGATTATGTTACAGATGAATATCAGAAGACGAAAGAACAATAAAACAATAGAAGGTTAAGGGTAAGGTTGAGAAAAAAATTAAGATCAAAAAGGTTATTAGATAAATATACAATGACCATGATAGGGAAAGGCTAACCAAACTTTTCTTCTATATACATAGGTCAGGTCGGAAAACGTTTGAAAGCGATCGCCTCTGAAAAACGGAGTGAGATTGATGTTTCTTTTCTATTGATTTTTTGAATGAATTCATTTTATTCTGCGAACCATATTGTTCTTGATCTGTTTAAATTTATCAAGGGATCTGGTCGTATGAATAAATAAATAAATAAACAGTTTGGAATTTGAAGACAGTAACCTTTATTGAATCAAAGCATCGGGACAGCTGTTTAGTCAGTGAAGTAGTTGTACAAAAGACATTTTGGATACATAACTACATCAATTCTCTTTAAGCCTTATAAATCAAGCAATTTACTGACTTGAGTAATAAACAAATTATGAAACAAGAATTCACTTCGATTTGCCCTGGTGGAGAGAGTCAGCTTTTCCTCTCGAAATGCTCTCACATGGCCACGCGTATACAGCCGCTGCCAGGGAAGTCCTACTCACTAACTTGTGTTGTTTACGAAATTGAAAGGACCAAAAGCGAATGTTTGGCGTGTAAACCAAGTTGGTGGATATGAAGGATCCACCTAGGAGAGTTGGAAAACTTTGATTCCAAATCAATAATGCACACGGGTTTCAGGATCCTGAAGGAACAAATGGCGTGTGAACCAATTATTGGTCACGGGCTACAATGTGAATGCATCTCCTGACGTTGCTCCACTGCCTTATGGATTAGACCTTTAGGTCGACAGCTCCCGGTGTGGCCCCATAAGAAAACCACCTGCTTTGATTTGGGCACCCGGGCAGTATCACAGCCAACACACAAATTAAGTAACTTGTGTGGCGCATACGTATTTGGTGCCCCTTTGTACCAATACTTATGTGTTCAGATAAATAAGTAAATGTACGGAGTTTTATACTGAAGCATATTTATACTTCCGTCATGGTAAAATTTGATTTATTGAACATCGATCGATGATATCTAATAAGGCATGTAAATAAGCATCTACAAAGTCCTCTGCATACTCAAAATCGAATGTGATGTCAGTTTGACAGGTTCTTTCTTATCTTCGTTTATTAATCGTAAAACAAACTAAGACAACGAATAAAATCTATCTGCCCTACATTTTTGTGTGACTGTTCTCTTTTTCGCATTTTTTTGTAATTGAATATAATCTCTTATTTATTCAGTTAAGCGACCACTAACAGATCAGAAACAAACGGTAAAGTTAGAGAAGCCAGTTTCAAGTACCTGATAGAATTACTTATATCATTTTAGTCGTAAGTAATATTATGTAAAATGTTGACTAAGTAAAACGAAACACGTATTCGGAAGAATATGACTGATTGAATTACAACGTACTAATGTGCAACACTTCAATGATAATTCTCAGAGTGATTGGAAGAAACGGAAGAAAAATTCTATAAAGAATACATAGTTATGGATCGAATTGCACAACCGATTTTCAGTTTAAGGAAGAAAGTGAAAACAAATAATCAGACAATGACAGAAATAGAATAGAAATATGATTTTAAAGAAAGCTGAAAAATAAACGAAACAGGTCAAAAGAATCATTTCATTAATGTTGTCACAGAAGGATCCCACATCATTATGTGGAAGAGGTAATATAAAACCTAAAAAATACATCTTAATTGGCTGGAGATTGAGTGACTTACAAAATGATTACCTCTAATCGCTTATGACATTTCGTCACGTTCATTTTGCATATAAACATCGGTGGGGACGGCCCCCGGTGAATTCAAGAAAGCTCAGAAATAACCGAAGACATTTAATCTAATCATCTTTTAGAAGAACATTTCAGAATCTCAACGTGTAGCTCCCCGACTGGACAAATGCTAAACACCACTGCATGAAGATTGGATGACTGTAATGATGATTTCGTTTTAACTGAAAACTATAAACACCTGAGTGTTTTGTATCATATCTGATACTATTTGAAATAAGATTCCTTCCTACTTGTCTTTTGTCTTCTAACATGCAACATGAAGGGTTCTAGAGTCCAAGTGCTTAAGTTGTATGCGGTATAGCGAAAATCCTAGTTTTAGATATAACAACATGTCACTTTATTACATAGGAAACCTACTTTTCTGACTCGTGGTCTTATATTTGATTTAAGATTATTCAGTAATTTCAGTCAATAAATCGCTATCGTGAACAGTATTCTTTTAATTAATTTTACGATTAAAGAATTGTTTATCAACCCACTGAATCATTAACATTCTCCTTCGTGACAATGACAATAGGGATAAAAATTGATTGTGAAAAATTTCAATGATTACAAGATGAGTGGATATCTATATGTATCAAATTGATGTTATCAGAGATCGAACTTAACAAAATAATCATAGATAAGTCAAAATCTGAACATCATTCACAAACCATTATTGGAAAATTCAATCCCATTCAGAATAAAATATAACACAAATAGAAATCACAACTCATACAACAATACAGTGGTCGCAAACAACCATACGACGAAGTCAATGAATAGTCATGAAGCTACTGCCAATTCAAATTCAGGCATTGGAGCCAGAATTTACTGAAAGTTATTCGATTTCAAGTTCAGAACCTCCAATTGTAGTGACACAATATCAAGTCGAGTCAACAACACATAAATCAGACCAATCCCAATAAACCATGGATCAAGCAGTCTCATTAGAGCCATTGATATCTTCAGTTTCAGAAATAAAACACACTTTAGGAGCTTGTATTGTTATAAACCAAATCGTGCGACAAGAGATGAATTTAAAGAAGAGAGAGTAGATGAAAGGAAATATCGTACATTTGATGCTATAAACTATTAGATGAAATCATTTTGCAGGTCATATACTCTCCAATCAATTAGGACTAATTCTTGGTTGTCGTATCAGTTAACAAGTATGGGGAAAAGCAGAAAAATAACCAGTAGCCATTCTAAGTGTTTGGAGTAAAATTAGTACGATTTAAGGAAAATCGTGGTATCGAAGTTAGTTCTTTCTTTAAATTCCTACCGTAGTATCAGGACAGTTGTACATTTAAACAAAACTTGACAGTAAACTGGTTTCCCAAAGTTATGTTTTGACAATATGAGATTTTCCCAGAATTCAAAATTGGTCTGGATAAAATCGATGCATATGTTTATGAAATAATTATATAAACCCATAATGCATAACCAATACATATAGTGGTTAATTCAACTATATCCTTGTATATACAGTAAGTTTTTACACTGTCGACATTATTTAAGACGAAGGTAATTATTTCAGAACGTATGATTGACGCTATAATCAAAAGCCAAATACAATAAAGTATATGTATAGTATTCGATTGTACAAAATACATAACAGGAGTTTGATGATATAGTGCGTATGTTGAAACTTATCGAAAAAGTATTCATTAACTCTTGATAATCAATAGAGTATCATTTTTTACAAAATGGCAAAAATCTCTTGTAAGTTCAATTACCAGTTTTTTTGGCATTAGAACCATCGTTAGTAGTGGAGCGGGGTCGTTTTTGTAGGTTCTTACTGTTAGTTTTTGATTTACGCTTTCTTCTTCGATTCGATTCATCAGATAAGTCCTCATCACTTCCTTCTTCTTCTCCATTATCTTCGTCTTCGTCAGTCTCCTGGAATTCGTCATCGTCGTCATCATTATCCGCTTCTTCATCAGAAGAACCTGGTTGCCAGTCGTCATCATCTGATTTTTTCTTTCCTCCTGAAAACAGAAATACTTATTAAACTAGAATTTGAAAATCGAGAAGTGAAAATCTAGAGCAACTCAGGCTTTTTTTAAAACTTTTATCACCGATTATTGAGTGTTAAAAAACGCTTGTATTTGAGGTTGATTTATAAAAATGCCTAAAGAGGTTTGTTGAGTATTAAAACTACTAGTGTCAAGTAAAGCACTGTTTCATTCGGGAATAAGAACTTCAGGAAGGATTTAACTGAACATAAGATGCTTAATAAATCGAATCCACAAATTTTTAGGTAGATTGTTATTGAAGAGAAGATGATAGATGCTTTCCGTTTGTGAACTAATCTAAGCTGGATGTATGGTGCTGTTACTTATGTTACAGACAATAGAAACTACATTTAGTGAATCGAATAATAATAACCGAATTCATTTTTACTTCCCCTCCAACTCCATTGTTTTCATAAAACTTCGCTTGGAAGTCTACGCATTAAGTGCTATGCGATTCTCCATATATGGGATGAGTGGATGTTTTCAAATGTACATACTTTAGTTAAATATCACATCATATTAAAATTTGGAACAATGTGTCCAATTTAAATGTCAAATATAATATTACTTTATATAATGAGAATACACATTTGTAGGATTTCTATAAAATAATGTGTAGATGATATCCATACAAATTTGACATAAGCAAACTTGATTGAGATCAAAAAAAAAAAAATTTAGACAACCATTGAAAACCTGGAGGGACTGAACGATCGTTCCGGTTTCGTATGAGACCCCTTGGCAGTGCCCATCAAACAGCCCCGAAATCAGGAATCGAACACAATATCTAGTGAGCAAACGCATAAACCCTAGACTACAGAGCCAAGATACAATGGTCTATAATATAACCCCCTGATGATAATCGGAGATGGTCGAGGAATGTCGCGGATTGACTGAAGTTAGACTTGTACACAATTTAACCTCGGATCAATATTTTAAATGTTAGGGATTCGCGCTAGACCGCAAGTTCTAGATTCGACCCGTGGTTGCGAGGCTGTGGATCTGCATTGTAGAGGATTTTCATACTAAGACGAATTTTCCGTTCCAGGTTTTCAATGGTTGTTTAACTTAGGTTCATGATCTTAATAAAACTCGGCAAATCTCCACAACCGAGTACTGATATACAAATTTGTTTCAGATAGTGAAGTTGTGCTAAATGATCATGAATTTCTAACACGATAGTACAGACAACGAGGGCTTTAGTATTTTTAGAGTGTATGTTCGAAGAAAATACTACCTTAAGAGACACTTTTAACGTATTAATTGTTCTTTTTTAACTTGTTGGTTGATATCCTTATAAATTAAAGACTATTAGATACACATTTTAACAACACTTTGAACTCATTGGGAATATTCTTATCTAATAAATCAAGGGGTATGATCAAAATCTAAATTTTTTCTAAAATACTAGCTTAGAATACAATGAATTATATCGTTGGCAATAATTCAGTTCATTGAAATACAATATGAACTCATTCTTGGACGATTGTTGTCTATTTATATTATCAGATAGATAGACAAAATAGACAAATCATGACTTAGTTAAAACTTTAAACATGTAAATATCAAGAAAAGACGTAACTAGGATGTAAGTGTTGTTGGATATGTCAGTTGTAATGAATTAGTACATTTTGATTAATACTTTACAGCAAATTAAATAACTTAGATTTGAAGTCAGGTTTATGATTTGAAAGGAGAATTAAATAATTTATATGCAAAGTAGATCAATTGCAGTGAATATCTAACGGAGGTTAGTACCAGTATGATTAGAAGCAATAGAATAATTTAAGTATAAAGAAAGTATCTACTTACAAGTATTGAGAGTAGTTATTATTTTTAGATGTCATTAAAATTTAAAATAAATTTCGCAATTTTAAAGATTTCTTACCTGATTACATAATTCAATTAGTCGACTATCAACTATTAATTTACTCTACATAAAGTGTAAGTAACGTTTGGTGTGATGTCTTGATACATAAAATACTAAGTAGTTTAGTAAGCAATGAGTAACAAATTAAAAAGATGATGGTTTATGGAAATAATTTCTCATTTTAGAGAAAGGAAATATTATACCGTTATGTATACATTGACTCTAAGTTAACAGGTAACGAATGTGAACACTGATCAACCAAGCAGGAGAAGTATTATGAACGCTTAGCAAATAAAGATTGGTTGAAGGTAGACATTAACATTGTTCGATGCCGGCTCAGTGGTCCAGAGGTTGAAGGTTCTGGGTTCGAATCCCGTGTGCAGGATCGTGGATGTGCACTGCTAATGAGTCTCATTCTGGGACGAAACTGCCGCCTAGTGCTTCCAGGTTTTCAATGATGGTCTAACATTGACCGATTCATGATCTCAATTACGATAAAGAGATGTCGGATAACCGATCAAGTGTACTTCAATGCAACTAATGAGTTGCATACATAAATGTGTGCAAATATTTGCTAATAAACTTTTGTGAAAATTTCAAACATCATAAAACAATATATGACAACTTACGTAGTCTAAGGTTAGTTTTATGAACTGATGATCTGTGATAAAAATTAGAAAATGGATAGAAAAGAGAAAATGCATCAAAAATATGTGTACAAAACATGATTAGTTTTAAAACAACATCTAACTGCGCATTTTTGGAAATGTAATACAACCCATTTGTTGATGATTGGAGCAAACAATATAACCAGATAAAATTTTCGATGAAAAAGAGTAAAATTACTAAGTGGCTGAAAGTAAACGAGAAGAAGCTTTTAATTTATATCTTATTTTATTTGGCGTTTGTTAATAATTTCAAGGAAAATTATGCTATCCGAGGGAAATGTCACTATCTACTCATTTGGATAGTTTGAGGCGCATGCTACTTATGTCTGTTGACATAAGTAGTATGTAACACCAATTGGAAGTAGAAAACTGGGCATCAGAAGGCTATGAAGGATGAATTGAAGGGGACAACAACGGATTTAGAAAGGAATTGTGAGTCGAAAGGATCATACAGAATGTGAGAGAAAATAATGGAAATTCGCAAATGAAGTATTAAGTGCATGGTTCTTATATTTTACCATGATAATGTGTAATTTATTATTAAGATGTATTGGTTGTCCCCCAAACTGAGTTCTCGTTCATTACAGGTTTCCTTTGCCCGTATTTGTGAAATATCTTTGGAAATAACTGAGAAACTACGTTTTCATTGTCGTCCAGCTTGAAAATCATGGCAAATAATCTACCTAAAGTACTTGTAAGGTATGGTCGATAAACAAACCTACCAATGACAACATTAAATACCCACCACAATATTGACTTTTTCGACCTTGTATGACTATGCCTAGTTTATTCACTAATCATAATCTTTTATTTAATAGTTGAATTAATGAGTCAATTGAAGCTAGACCATCATAGAAAACCTGGAAGCACTGGACGGCCGTTTCGTCCTAGTATGACGCATGAACTCAACTAATAAATTAATATAATATCCATAATCCCCCTCTCTGATTGTAGTCTTTTATGTTTGTCATAAATAATATTACACTTTTTGACTCATTTTTCCTATCCTCTAGTTACTGTACAGTATATCATATATGTCGCTCTTTTTACCTGTTTAGTAGACTGTTTTTTTAATATACCAACGGTGTCAGTTCACGTTTTAGAAACAGAGAAGGTTTATCAAGCCAAATAACTTACTTGTTCTGACTGGATAAATTAGGACTCTGCTTGACAGTCTAGAGATTAGTATAGAATCGCGTCTGTAGGAAATCACTTTCTGTAGTACTGAAAAACCTATTTCAACGATCACACACACATTCTGTTTCTTGAGATTTGATTACTGAGAAATAAAGTGGGTGGAAAGAGGAAGAAAGCTAATACAAGTAAGTGGAATCATACGACTTTGTGTGTTGGTGTATGATGGTCAATAGTAATAATCAGCAGTGCGATTTAGAATGTCTGGATCATATCCAATTTCAGTCATTTTTTGTTATACACCAAGTACAGACACGTGAACGCGGCTATGAGACATACTTTATGTCTTCCGGATAGTGACACTATTCAGTTGCTCAAACCAAATTAGGTGAACCGGGACTTGAGCCTGTGACCTGATGGTTGAAAGTGGAATACCTCAGACACTCAGCCACTGCTCCACTTCAACCATGGAAACGTAATGAATTATAGTCAGTATAAACGATATTTCAAATCCACTTCAAAGGAAAATATTGAATCGCATACGCATAAACTTACTTGGATTTCGGAGACTGACCATCATCATCATCATCATCATCATCATCATCATCATCATCATCATTTAAAGACTGATTTAATGTAGAAGATAGAGTTGCAGTATTCGGTGGACTAGGTGCACGTCCAACTCTATAGCTACGCCAAGGTACATTACTTTTAGTTTCGTAGCATTGTGTAATCCATTTATCGGAAACAATTATACCTTTACCTTTAACTAGATTGAATTTAGGTGTGTTTGGAAATGCACAGCTATAAAGATATGAAGTGAGGTTAACGAGAGAAAAGAGATAAATGAAATCAGTAAAAGAACAGCATATCTTTCAACTACAATAATTTTAATACAGATAAACAAAACCAATCATATAATCATTTTTGTCAGAGAATAATTATATCACTTTAGATAGTATTAGTTTCTTTGAGATGGATGATTTAATTGTGAAGCTTTTATTACTGTTTTAAGCGAAATCACACAAACCCCTATTTCAAGATGAGACCATTCTGATTTATCTACAAGTACTAAAACAGACTATTTCCTCATTTTCATGCATCTCTCAGTTTCTGATTACTGTATTTTTTAGTTGATGATCTATGACCGAATAATTGACTGATCTCCTCCGAATGGATTAGTAACAATTTACTATCGAATCTGTATTCATGGATTTCTACGCAAGTGAAATAAGTGATGGGATACCGCGTCGTTTGGTTGCTAATATATGTTCGTATATGTATACATGAAAGGGTCATTCACCTCGTCTAATTCAATGTTTCTCACATTTGCTAAAACATGTTTTATAAATGATATTGCATTTATCTTTCATTAGCGTTATATTTTCTGACTTATATAAAACAGAATCAAGTGACAATTTTCGCTTGTGAGTAACAGAATTTAAAGTGCCGAGATTCTGAATTACAGAAATTCCAAGGATGTCAAGGAATGTCTAGAAGCATACCTCTCACGTTAATTTGGATTCAAAAATACACCAATACAAATCCAATTAATCGATTCAGTCACCTATATGAACAAGATGTTCCTTCTTACACAAAAATATATTAGTAGATCAATTCGTACACAAACTTTTTGGATCTACAAGGAAGCATGAATCACCTGAATTTGGATGAGTTCAGAAATTAGTAAATTTAACTAGCCCCATAAAATTGTAGATTTGAAAGTTGATAAATTTAATGAAATATTAACCCAGAAAACGATATAGAAAACTTTTTACATTATAGAAAGTAGGAAAATATCAGCGAAACTACAGTCAGGTATACCATTTTTAATCTGATAGCTGATAAGTGCGAAATATCTGTTTTTGGAATAGCGTCCGAATATACACAAACGTCTGATGATTATCACTAACTCTTATTCTTAATCTTCAAAAGCTTCTATCCTAAATCATTCTATATGGTTTTTAATACAGACTACTGGAAAGTTTATATTTAAATACGTTAGTTTGGCGACGTAAGTGGCTAAACAATTATCAGTTAAGGAAATTTAACTGAGTTATATCACAGAAAATTTCTGCTTTTGTGTAAGAATTTATATTGTAATTCAGCAGAAAATTTGAAACAAATTTAAAAAGGATATCTGCATAAATTTATTGAAGTACAAATGCTTGAACAATGAAGAACACATGTTTGACTTACATCAAATGTGTACAATCTGGACCCCAATCTTGTCTGTACTTGGCACCAAGTTCCAGGGCTTTGTCTCTGATTTGACTTCTTAAGGGATTTTGATAACCACTCAAAGTCAGAATAACATTTGATAAAGGTTTTTGGGTTGAATGAGATGTTTTTGATTGTTTATATTCTTCTTTGTTCTTTGATATGCGAGAAGACTGTGAAGAACGTATTATGCCTGTGTTGGTGGGAGAAGGTCTTGAGTGAGACTGGTGAGAACTGGTACTGGCTTTAGAGGAACTATGATGATCGTCTGGTCGACTCACAAGTAATGAACTTGACGTATTCGCTACAGAAATAATTAAAAAACCAGCATTTAATTTATATATGGATAAGGGTGTTTTGGACAAACATTGATCGCAGTTAAAACAGGAATATGACCTAGTGTAGCAAACTTCTGGCTAATAAGTTATTCATAAACTAAGTAAGGAAGGTACACCTAGGGTAGTTCGACAACCCTGATTTCCAGTCATTGGTGTATACAGATTTGGGGATCCTGAAAGAACAAATAGCGTGTGAATTCATTCGCGTTCATCATCACCACTGAAGCAGGTGGTTTTCTTAGGAAGCCACACTGAGCCTTTGACCTAAAGGTCTAATCCAAAGGGTAGTGAAACAACGTTATAAGATGTAATCTCATGGTAGCCGGTGACCAACTATAGGTTGATACACCATTCGTTTCCTTAGGATCCTGAAACCCATATGCGCCGTTGGTTTGGAATCAGGGTTTTCCAACTTACTAGGTGGACTCTCCGTACCCATCAATCCCGTTAGAGCACCAGACATTCGCTTTCGGTCCTCTAAGTTTCGTAAATAACACCCCCGCCGAGAGAATGTAGTGAGTAGGACTTACCTGGCAGTGGTTGTATGCACATGCTCATGTAAATGCATTTCGAAAAGGAGAGCTGACTCTACCCACTGTCGGCCATGCCAGGGGCATTTGGGGGCAAACATGGGACCTCATCTCCTGGTGTCATTCCACTGCTTTGTGAACTAAACCCCTGGGTCAAAGGCTCGAGGAATGGTTCCCTAATAAAACCCGGGGAGTACCCCAGCCCCCCCCCCACACACACAATGATTTGTGTAAAACAAAGATATATTTTAGTGCCTCTTTGTGCCAACGTTTGTGCGTTTGAATAAATAAATAAGACAAAATAAGTGTGCTTATATATATATAGAACGTAACGAGAGGTCAAAAAATCCATTTTATATAATGATACTAATTTTTAGATTCAAAGGAAGACGGGAAAATGAATGCGAAAAGCGACCAATCACTAGTCATGTTACTTACGTCCTCCAAACATAGATAACACAGTCATCATCGATGAAATTTCATCAAACAGCAAGTCTGTGATAAACTCTATATTAAAATGTTTCAATCATATCAAACAGGTTAAACCTAATCTCATTTACTGTAAATGAGCAAGATTAAGTCTGATAGTCAAATCTTAATGTCACTGAGATACGCCCTCAGCACAATGAAACCGGTATCATCCAGTTAGTAGGAAAGAAAACGGCAAGTCATCGTGAAATAAAAAGTGCAAATAAACAAATATGCACAGCTGTGCGAATTATATTGAGTTGTATATATTATCTGAGAGCTAACAACAATTTTATGTCAATGTAGGAACATGAAGAGTGATATCGGAGGAAATAGAAAAAAAACTTACCGTTCTGAATTAAATTAGACGAATGTTTCAAAGCATTTAATTTATCTGAAACTACAAACATAATTTCTATATGTATCCTTACTTGATGACTTGGGCTGTGAATTGTCTTTATCACAAGATGTCTGGCGTGAAGCCTGAAAGAGTGAACCTGGTTTGAATTGAGTTGAGTCTGATTCTTCGTCATTCAGTAAGCTATCTACTTTAATGTTTTTATCCTATGATGTGAATGTTGGCATAAAAATGACGCTTACGTCGGCTGCTGGATTCGCATTAGCTGGAGTGTGGAAGAAAACGAAAGAAATGCCATACTGTAAAGTTTTGTTAAACGGTTGCGAGCAAACAAATTTGACTAGATCCCATTTCTGGCAAGCTATAGATTTTATAAACTGATCACCACTAAATACCCGGACACGGTTAAGGTTCGTTTCGTTTTTCGCATCTACTGGAGACATAAAAGAAGAGGATGGCAGGAGTACCTAGAACTGGTCTGAACAACCAACTAAGATGTTACCGATGAGTCGTCCGATGAAGCAGATCTTCGCACCAGCACTTCGATAAAGGCAGAACCATTATTCCCAATATCTAAACGTGAAATTTCAATAGGTTCGGAAAACTATGAAGCTTTAAGATGATATGAGAAAAGCAGTTTACACTCAATTCTACAGCTTCTTGCCTGCTTCCACCACTTACACAACACCATTTTGAGAATGACGACCCTTTTAAAAGGTTGGATGCAGGAAAAGCCTGGAAAAGAGAAATACGAATGTTAAATGTTGCATTTTTTAGGAAAATCATATAAGGTCTTGAAAGAGTATGAACGTTATGATTTCAGCCTAGATTAGGTTACAAGAGGCTTGTAAATAGTTCATGAGAAGAAAATTAAGTGAAATAAAGACGAGTGAAACAGAAATCTAGAAAGAAATAGACAGACTATAAAGCAATCTTTTCGAATTGCCTCTAAACAGTAATTTGTATTATTCAGTAAGAAGTTTTAGTTACGACTGCTTAGTGAAGTAAAGTTTGAAAATATGTTAATTCAGAAATTAGGGATGTTTAGTTTCCCTTACATGATGGTAAGTTGCCTGAATCATGAACGTGAAATACTACTTACAAGATATTACGCCAAACGATGACAACAGCTGGGTCTTGTTGTTCGGCCTGAAACATGTTTTCCAAAGTCATTCAGCTACAACATAGGACCAGGTACATATGTGCATCGGTCCAAGTTGCCATACTTCATTAGCACGACAAGACGAACACCGGATTCATAGAAGTAGTTAATTCAGTGATGGTAAAATATAAAAGAAAGATTGCAATAGGAATATAGTACAGGAAGAAAGAATTGGTTCGTAGAAAGAAAGATATGAAGTGATTTTAATCTCTTAGTTTAAGGGAAGACAAAGAGTGTATAAACCGATGCCATTGTGATCGATCCTGAGCTATGTCACCAAGGGTCTCGGATCATTGGTTACGATAGTCACGCGGACCCCAATCAAGTAGTCTGCATCTACCAACATGGCTCGGGCCAGAAGTTAGTGACTTCAAGCACTGGTGCCACGTTTTGGTTTGGCCGCCCCTAACTTTCTTTCAACCATCCTCAACACCAGTTAGCATTGCGCGTCGTGGTAATAGGTGTTCAGGTACACGCAATACGTGGCCCAATAATCTCAGTCGATGAAGATTCACAACCTCATCAACTGACTTACCATCATTCTCTGACACCCTACATTTAACCTCACTATTACTTACCCGGTGATCCCAGAAGATGCGAGTAATATTTCTAAGGCATATGTGGTCAAATACTAGTTGCTTACGAATATCATATACTCTTAGTGGCCACGTTTCGCAGCCGTAAAGTAAAACGGAACGAACTACCGCACAGTTTACTCTTCCCCTTAATTGATAGACGGATATCTCGCCTTCGCCATAGGTGGCGTTAGTTGGCAAAAGGCAAACGAGCTTTTCGAATCCGTGCTGAGATTTCGTCAGACACCAATCCATTAGGGCTTACTGGACCTAAAGAGCGGTAAGACTAAGAGCACCGAACCCAAGGTTTGAGGGCGAAATCGTACTGCTGATTATACAAAGGTGTAGCGGCAGTAAGGTGTTTCTTCAGACAACCAGCATGACAGCGATGCTGCCTTCCCACAAGGAGGGGTAGGTTAGAAAAGGTCGACCCTAAAAATGCACACCTCGCCTTATCCCATGGATATCTGCCTGCAGCGGTAAGGTCTCGAGAAGTACGAGCTAACATGAAAATTACTCGCGAAAAGGTCGTGTGTGACCGACCTCAAGCAGTTGTCCCTTGGGCACTGAGGTCACGCTCTCAGGTCTCTAAGACCACCTGTAATCCAATTTCATTTTCAGGTACCTTCAGAACCCTTCCACGGTGTGGGCAACCGGGAAGTGATAACCGCCCTCATACTTCCAACAGCACTCAAGACCATTGTATGTTTTCCAGAGGCGAATACATAAATGCATGCTTAGTAAATAAGTCACATTAACTTTTATAGTTATGAGTATCGAAATCATCCTTTACGCTAGCCGTCCTGAAACACGAACGAGGCAGTAGTTGATATCTAACACGAATTTGGATACTTCAATCAACGAAAACAACTTAATCCCTGAAAAAAATTACATGCCACACATTTTCACTACACACAAGAACTTTTATGGTCAAATGATTGCAATTTTCGGCTGTTTATGAAATTAGAAATCATATTTTACAGAAATGATTCAAATCAAATAGTTGAGTAGTGGACCCACTTTTTGATAAGCAATAGAACATTACGAAAAACGCACTTATCAAAGACATGAAGCCTGTGTTAATGTAGTGATTGTTCCATTGCTACATACGTTCATGTGAATGTATTTCTTTAATTATTGTTGATGGAATTACTTAAACCATTTTCTTATTTTTTTATATACTGTTTAGCCGACTAATGAGCAGTAAGTAATTATCGACGCATCAAGCAGGAGGAAGATTCTGATTGCAGATAAATAGTGGATTGTGGGCAAAGAACTTTGTCTTTATCCTATGGACCTTGTGGATATGCATCCGCAGAACAATGCCCAACCAGATGGCAATTGGTCAGTCCTGAAGTGCAAGGTCACTTACTACTGCGGTAAGTTACGAACGTAGAAACCGTAATTTCCCATAAATAGTTTCTAGCCATTTCACATTTGAGTGCGAACACTAGGCAGCTAATATCGAAGTCTCATGCGGCGTGAACATCCACAGAAATTTGTTATCGGAATACCAAGTTTGCAGTTTCATTTGTCATTTGAAGAGGAACTAATAACATTAGGAGCATGTCTTCAGCGAAAAGACATTACGGACAAATTTGTAAGTCAACAAAATTCGCTGGATTACTTGTTTCTATTCCAGAAGGTCATCCTGACGTGGTTAATGGATGATAATCCTAAGACGTCCATGCGCTATATTATGTCATACGTCATGACATCTGTAGTTACCAGCCATTCCACTGTATTAGGCACTCCATCGGAAAGGACACTTCAGAATTGCAGGTTTTACGGCTGCATACGAAGAAAAAGATTCTAATCTTTAGGAGCATTAACATCTCGATTCTTGTCCCCATCCGTCGACGGAAAACAAAATGCCGAAGCTTATGACATCGTGAAGTAAAGGTATTTTCACGACATGAGACAAAATACGAAAGCGTCATTGGAGAAAACAAGAACACGTATGTACCAATATGTTTTAATTATTAACTGCTGTTCTATAGGTGCTGAGAATTCTATATTGTACCAAAATATAATATTGAATAAAGCCATTAATAATAATAACAATAATTAATAACCGTAAGTACTACTTTAAGTTCATTTGTTTAACAAACTATGACATTCGGATGTTTTGTGTTCATTAAATTTTAGAATTTGCATGAACATTGGTTCGGAGTAGTTACACTACAGTTTAGGAAGGGCGTTACTACTGAAATATCTTTTATGTTTAACTTAATTGTTAATAAAACTTTTTCCTACTATGCACTGAATTCTTGACTTGCATGTGAAAACTTCAAAGTGTATGTTGTGGAAGTTTGTTTAGTTTTACATGCACTTGTCATTTATGACATGTAATTTCTTTTATCTCCGTAAATTACAACAAGACTTGACACTTACTATGAAAATACATAACGACCGTTTCTCCAGCATTCGACTATTGTTAATATTTTTGTATAGTATGATGTTTTTTTTAATAAATGTTTATAAAAAAGTATCATTTTTTAATGCAGTCAATTGCGGTCGTCATGTGGTTTGTTATGGAAATAAAAGTGAACATACGAGACACTCGAAATTGAACAAAAGGTGGCGAATAAAGTGTGTAATTAGACGTACATTAAAAATTAGGGGATTATTTAAGCTGAAATTAGACAAGCTAGCGTGTATTTAGGCAGAAAGTAGACAATCCAGCGACATGTGGAACAAATAGAGAAAAATGGGTAATCCTGTATTCTTTTCCTTCGACGGGCGAAAAAGCAAATATTTTGGCACGTTCCGCCATTGATTCCCCGTCGTTCACCTTTATTTCTCCCTTATTAGTTGTTTGATCAAACAACTACATCCTCAAGAATGTAGAAAACGCTTACCGAATGTTAAAGTTCAAGTTTAACCGAAGAAAAAATTATGAAAACTAAGTTGTGTATTTAGGGTAAGATCAACTTGCTTTATCTTCACTCGTAAAGCTAACAACTCTACTTGGAACGACCTCAGGCATCACGCAACGTCAAATCTCAAATTAGATCCATTATTCTTCAGTCTTCAATAATTGTGTGTACTCCAATGGTTTAAATGGTTATGAAGAGAATGATAAAAGCTTCTGCTTAATGGGCTTTCATATCTAGTAGCATTAGATCACCGATACCTTCAGGTAAGGACATAAGTATATTAACAATAAAGAAGGAAAAATAATTTAGTAATATCATAATGAGATACTTATTCCTTAAGAATATGACAAGTTTTCTGTTAAAAGACTCTAACGAAGTCACTTGGACTAGTTCGTCTGGCAGAGAATTCCAACATTTGACCGCTCTTAAGGAGTAGAAGATATTTTCACAGTCCGTTCTGTTATGTTAACTCCAGTTTTCGGGTGTTACCCTCAAGGTTTGTGTTTGGATCAAGCCTAAGTAGGCATTTTATAGCAACTCAAATGCGATTGACTTTGTTCACATTGAATTCAGGTAAGTCATTTCGTCAAATTATTTAACGAACTGAGTCATCCGTACAGGTACAACCTATCTGTATAATTGTGTATTTATTATTGTTGCGAATGTATGAGCATGTATGCTTAAGCACTGCCTACGCATATATTCATCCCGCCAACCTTACTATTAGTTGCTTAATTGATTCGATGATTCATTCATCTCCCTATATATATATATATATATCTTTGCCTTCTGAATTCAAGTATCATTTGGGTTTAAATAATAACGGTTACGAGGGTGATTGCTTAACGAAGCACAGCCACTGCAATTTAAAACGATACCTAGAAGTGATTAGGATAATAGAAATAGTTAGGTCACACCTAAGACCTTTGCACTGTATTCCACAAAGGATCACTGATTGAGGGAGCTATTCATAAGACTTCAATTTGAGTCCCCGGACTGATTTCGTGGCACGTCATTGGATACATTCTGGAGTGGTCTGAACTTTTCTGAAGAAAATCAGGAAATACTTTGTTTATGTACTCTAAATGAGGACGAATATAACTGTTGAAGATTGTGTGGGATGTTATCCTGTCGAAATGGCCGTAAGTGCTCTTGAACGTTGCCGGAGAGGCACTTTCTCGGAAGTCACTTTTGTCATAGTTAGCATAAGAATAAAGTTATAACCTAGGAAACTCCTTTCTAGTAGTATTCCAAGTAGAAGAATATCTAGGAGTCCTGGTGCCTCATGATTTAAAGTCTTACGTTAACTGTGAAAAAAATGCCTTCCGAGCAACCCTTGCACTGGTAACGTTGAAGCGCATTTTTGGGCAGTTTGACGGACGAACTTTCCATACAATCTTTAATAGTTTCACCCGTCCCCATTTAGAGTGCGGAAACATAGTACTCCCCACACTCCAAAAGGACAAGGTCACTTTGGAGCGTATCCAACGGCAAGCCACGAGTTTGAGGACTCAAATCTAAACATTACGAAGAGCGCCTCCATTCACTAGACCTTTACCCATTAGAGCATAGGAGTCTTAGAGGTGATCTATTATTGGCTTATAGTATTCTCAAAACTTCTGGACATCCTCTTAAACACCTACTTAAGCTTAGTTCCAACACTAACCTAAGGGGTAACACCCATAAACTGGAGACGAAACATAGCAAAACGGAATGTAGACATAACTTCTATTCCTTAAGAGTTGTCAAATGCTGGAAATCGCTGCCGGCTAAGCTGGTCCAAGCGACTCTTTAAGAGTCCTTCAAGAGGCAACTTGGCCTATTTTTAAGGACCAAGGAGAGCATCATTCTATGATTTGCCAATTTCTTTTCCTCTTTTATTGTTAACATACCTAGGTTCCTGCCTGGAGGATTTGGTGATTTCCTGCTACTAGACATGGAAGCCTGTTAAGCGAAAGCTTCTTCTATTCCGTCTACAACCATTTGGACCATTTGACTTCAGATCGTAGAGTAGATATTTTCAACCAACGATACCTTTAGAGGGGAGTTACCTAAGTTGTATCCGTAGCCTGTAACATGTATCAGATGGACTTGATGATGTTACAGGCATTTGGAGTTTGACAACACTTCGACCAGTGACATCTATACATGAGTCGTGCCCACCCATTGACATTAAAATCAGAAACGAGGTGGTTCGAAGATCTATTTGATAGGCTATCAATATATTGATAATCGAGTGATCTAAACTGGCTAGAGATTTCAGGAGGATTTGAGCATGATGTACCCACCAATGTTTTAGTGTGGATGTATGCGGATGTATGACCGTGTGCCTTCAGCTAGGTGAGTCCATTAAAACTAATGTAGTCGCCACCTAGTGTCCAAGACTTACAGAGCGATTGATTTCGAGGATTTATTTAACACTACAGACTACTTTTCACGTTGAAGTGCCAAAAACAAGTCTGTTGTTACCTACCTGTGTTTATGACAATAGTTTTGCTTTTTTATTAGGCGGTGCCTTATTTTGTCCACGTTTATGAAAACATAAGTACAGGGTGCGGTGTATTCAAACAGGTACGTTGCGTACATTTGTCAACAAAGATCCCCCAGATACCCGACGTAAGGGGGAAAAATTGACATTTCCCTTAAATAACCGGCGTGAATACAAAGAAGCGACATTTCTCCTTTATTTACGCTTTCGTCCCCTTTATTTCCTATTTATTGGTTGCTTGGGAGTTATTATAATAACGATATATCGTCACTTCTGTTATTTAAAAATAATATAAAACCATTTTACCTCAACTAAGGGTCACGAATTCATGAGCATGAATTCGCTGTTTTCGACGTATGAAGTTTCTTCAATTCTCTACTTCAGCTCTTGTACTACAAAGGAAACGGCTTGATAATGCTATCTCAAACAGCTGTTCGGTTTCTTTGGACATATGTGGTTAGAAATATCAATGAGTATGTATATGTGATGCACTGATTAAGAACCATGGGTTAAATGTCAAATTGCACTTTGCACTTTTCTAAATGTCTCGTTGTTTAGGTTCAGAATTCTGTCATAATGGCTGCAAGCATACTGTTAGGCCTCATGATTTCGTTGATTGGAAAGTGACTACATCAACGCAACTCAAAATACTCTTGTTCTACAATGAGCATGCTTCAATTCTCTTACTTTGCGTTTTAATCACCTAGTTTATCTACATTGTAATATCTCAGAACTTGTTAATTAACAAGTAAGATATCTGCTATTTTTATTTCACCTTAGCTTCCTCATGAATTCATGAAGTATGTATTCTTTGGACAGTAACTAGTTTTCAAAGAAACGGAGTGTGTTCAAAATCTTCATTTGGATTGATTTCAGGATAATTGAAACTATAGAGATCCCTTATATGTCATTGATACTTTCAGCTAAACTTATTCTCTCAATTTCCGTTCACACATACTATGATTTTTAAGACGTCTACTGTGTGTAGATCCGTTTGCTATCTACTTCACCCGTAATTATAACGGTGTATTTGTATTCATCTTCACTCATTTAGTGTCCATGATCTTTATTCTTCAATCTCATTCTCCTTAAACTACTTTTTGTGTTTGGCTTCCCACGGTAAAGAATACTGTTACTTTGTTTTCTCTACATCATGTTTTGCTGGTTCCTCTTGCTTTGCTACTGTGACGTGACAGCTTGAGTCAGTAAAATTCGATCCCAATTTACCAATGATTAGTTGACTGAATCACTCAAAAAATCAACATGGTTAGCGAATTTCCGATCGGCAATTTTCAATAACACTAACAACACTTACTAAAGCACTTTGGGAGTAGTTCAGTCGGCCAGCACTGGACACAAAGCCTGCTGAAAACTAGGTTTATTCCTAAATTTATGTTGCTTCTATAAAAGCTGCTCATTATTTCATCGAAAAAGTGTGTGACGTCAGTTTTAGTTTGTCCTGTACATCTTATGACTCTTTACTGTCATTTAAATAGCCCGTTTCAGGATAAATTCTATTCCGAGGCACTATTTCTGTGTTTTTAGACACATTACAATGCAATAATATTACCGACCGCAGTTCTGAGTGTTCCCAAAACAAAATTTGCACTATTGTTTTGAATTTTCTCTGTTATTCTTGTCAACTTCGTCTAGTGTGTTGTGGAAAACTGTTTAATGTACATTTATCACTTGTCCTAAGTTGACTATCATCGAATGACTGACGTCGCATCACAGCATTTTGTATTGAATTGACCATCCATAAATTCAAATTACTTTAATATAGCAACGTCTTTCGGTCCCAGTGCTTAAAAATTTGTTATAACTTTTGAAAAAACCGTAGTAAAAAGCCAAGAAATTGTCAGAAGTTTCCAAGACTCTCTTGCTCACTCAGGGTAACCGGACCAGAAATTGTTTTCCTCTGATAAGTTATTACTAATATTCCCTATTTTAGGCTTTTTATTTCCATGATTTCAGATTACTTTGTGTAATGTAATCCCTAGATCTGTAGATTTTTCCACACCAGTTGTTAAATAAACAGATTACCATCGTACATTGATATTTTTTATTCAGTTCCGATTCATTCTTAAGAAAACATTACGTTAATTTATTATATTAAATTTTCAGTTGTAAAGTATTCATCTACATGTTTTTCAGATACATATCTTGGATAGATGTTTGTGTTCCAGTTTCACATTTAGTTTCTTCACTCTAATCACTAACTGTCAACTATTAAAAAACGCCTTCAAGACGATTACTAATAATGAACTGCAGGATCGTTGAGGGAATGATTTGCACTGCAATTGATTCAGAAGTGAACTGTCCGTGTGATGAATGCAAAAAGAGACATTTTTCTAATGGGATTTCTTTCTTCTTCCTGAAAGATAAATTCTGGGTCGAAACTGTTTCTGAAGAAGAGTTGTTTCTAAGATTAAAGGTTCACTTATTTTTTCTGTACATGTTCAAAATAAAGACTCTTAATCCACAGTTTGAATTTCAGCGTGATACCCTCCGCCACACTATTCGTGATTGTTTTGATTTTGGAAAAGTGGTAGCTGATATCCAGGTTTGCACAGACATATGTAGTGTTTCTTTTCAGTACACCTTTGGAGAATCTGTAATAAATTGGACTAGTGATGCTGTTGTTCCTGTTTCTTCTGTGGTACCTAGTTACATTATAAAATAATTTATTTTTAGTTGCATTATCATGTTGTTTTGCCACTTTCATTTGCACTAGAATCACTTTGTAAAAAGCAAGATTTACTCAATAACAAGTTATTGGCTCTAAATCATCATGCAAATCGGCTTCATGAAAAACTAATGCTTCCAAGTAACAATGATAATTTAAATGTCAAATTAAACTAGTGGGTGAGGATATGAAAAAAGAAGACGTGGATCTGGTTAGTTATTATTATTGAGAACCGGCTTTAGAAATATGATTGGATGTCACTGCTCGGTTGCTTTCACCATTAATTTGGTTCTAGTCTCTTATTTTTGCTTGTAACATTTAATGTGTAACGTGAATTTAGTACCTAGATATCTATTCATGTCGATCTTATAAAAGTCCTATGAATATTTCGGAAATAAATTATTTATGATACGATTTGAACTCATTCCATCCACCTTATCTGATGGTTCAAATCTTTAGACGATTGTTTACTCTCTTGAGATTGACAGTACTTTTTAATCACTCCAGGCAAATAATTATAGGTATATTTCTAAAGGTATTAATTAACCACATACAACGTTTCACATGTAAGCTCTAGCAAAATTAATTTTTGATTTCATGGAGAATTGATCCGGAATAAATCACCTTTGGCAAAAATTTCATTCTTCATAGTCTGGAAGTTTACATTAGACTTGTTGTTTTAAGAAATGCATACTTCCAACAGTACAAGTAGCTTTTCTAAGTATTCCACAAGGAAGATTACTCAACTTGTAACCATGTAATTACATATAGATAGTAGAAGTGTTATCGTTGTAATTTGGGATGTTACAGTCATGGTGATCAATCTAATCTCATTTTGCAAACAAAAAATATGGAAAAGAATGCTTACAACTAATGAGAGTATTTCCTGAGTTGTAATTGTTCACAACAGTATTTCGCTTCATGACATTCTTTTTAAATCAAGTAAATTATGTCTCATACACCATAAGATATATATCAAGCTAGAAGCAGGTGGTAATTGTACTACGTTCCCCACAAACAATCAGTTCTGAGGATAAATAGGTTGTATCTTACAACAGAATCTAGCACGTTACCCATCGAACTAGAGTCCATATACCCATCAATTTCTTGGGAGTTTAAAGCGAAACGTCCCGGGTTCAAGTATCATTGTAAATATAAACACTGGAATACAAATGCATTTAGCTGACCAGTCCTAAATAGCACTAAACGTGCACCTTAGATTTTACTGTTGGGTACAATCTGCCTATTGTAAAACCTTGTTACAAAATAGTATTGAGGCAATCCATTCAAGATGTAGTTGTGCCACCAAAAGATGATCAAAATTCGATCCTAAATTTTCGAACAAGAATTTTTTTCGATGAATTCTCTTCAGGTTCTACAATTATATATTCAAATTAATAATTATTAGTTTGGATATATAATCGTAGAACTTGAGAAGAATTTATCGAATAGAATATTCTTCATTCAAATATTAGTCTTTTAATATGATGGGGATCTTTAAACGGTCAATCCTAAATGTCAACAACAGGATAATTCAAACTCTTACTACAAATCATAAATCTTACAATCAAGAACGGTTTCGATTTTTCTTTCGTTTGAAGTATCATATTCATTTGTTTCACATATTTTTTGTTAAGTCATTTTAAAACAAGTTATTTTGTCTGCCATAAATAAATTCATCGAATGGACATCTTATCATTTGAAAATCTTAGTATAGTAATTCTTTTTTAAAGTCTAGTTAATTCTAACGTTTCACACTTGTTTTAAATTCGTGGTTTTTTGCATATTTTTTTGTTTTGTCAGGATTTTAGTTATTCATATAACTTTTCAACAGGCTTACTTTCTTCGTCCTCTACTCAACATCTTTTTTGTGAGGCATCTAAACATTTATTCACTTCTAAAAGTATACTTCAATACTATTGGTTAATAAATTTAGTTCAAAATATGTATGTTTCTCCGATACAACAGAAACAGCCTACACGTGGGATAATATCAAGTAATTCAAACACCAAAGATGTTCAGGTAATTTTTGTTAAATAATACGTCGGTTGTGTTTTTTCTGTTGCCATAGCTCTCACCAGATAATATTTTGAATGTGAAAATGTTCTTCACTCCATGTCGATTAAATCATCTTTGAATTCCATAGTAATTTTTACTCTCAACTACTCAGATTGTTTCATGTCTCATTCGCACCATTGTGTTGATATCTCTTTTCAATGTGAAAAAATATATATCTTTTACTCTTTTAGTATAAATAGATCTCAATACGAATTTTGAACAGTTTCAATTCTTTTTTTACTACTACTATTCAAAAATTTATTTGACAATTAAGTACTTCATTGACGAGTGAGTATTCACCAAACTATTACTCGAATTAGTAGTATTAGTAGCAGTGAAAATCTATACGGGAAATATTAATTTATGTGAAATGTTATCCCAAACATTGATTAACACAAACAGAAACAACTTGTTTCCTCAAGCTTTTAGTTAAAGCTGGGTGTAATGTATATATAGTAGTAATCATATGAATTAACCGTTTGAATTTGTAGTTACCCAATATGTGACTGCCTGACGCCAACATGATAGTTCACATATATGAGTGTTCCATTTACATTATACAATGTTTGTTTACAGAAAATAGTTTGTCAAAATGAAGCCAAAAAATTATTTTCGTTGTATTTAAAACGGTAAATAGAAAGCTAACTGTAAAAATATTTGCGTTCCAATGCATTCGAATTTTCACTTTTCTGGATTGCCATATTTATTTATTTTAACACATAGATATTGGCTCTAGGAGGCACCAAATACATATGCGCCGAACAAATCTCATTTGATTTTTGTGAGGGCTGTGATACTGCCCGGGCGCCAAAACTGAAGCAAGTGGTTTTATTAGGGGGCCACTCCCCGAGCCTTCGACCTGAAGGTCTAATCCACAAGGCAGTGGAGCATCGTAAGGAGATGCAGTCCCATGGAAGCCGGTGACCAACAACTGCTTCATACACCATTTGTTCCCGCAGGATACTGGAGCCCATGTACACCATTGGTTTGGAATCCGGTTAAAGCGCTGGACATTCGCTTTTCGTCCTCTCATTTTCGTAACCAACCAGCATTTGGGGGTTCAATGCCCCCCAAACGCCCTGGATTGCCATAATGTATAACGTTCTGGAGAATCCACTGTAACCGATTCTCAAATTCCGTATCTTGAATACTATTCTTATAAACAAGTATTAATCTCGCAAGTTTAGATGTTGAATGGTCGTAGTCTATATTCATTATTTCCGGGAAACTCGACCCGTATCAACCGAAAAATTGGTCGTTTAGTCGTTATCCAAAATTTTTCAACCGTGCAAGTATCATTTATATAAGTGCTAGAAAACTCGGATTATGAGTAGCTGATTTTCATTCAAGAACTCTAGCATTCTGGATCAAAAATACACTTTCTGCTCTTTTTTGTCTTCTCAGTAGTCGGGGTTGAGTCAAGGGCCATTAGGGGCGTAGTTCAAGTTCATTTGGGGAGTATTTTGCGTCTCATCCACTACTGCGTTGATATTTTGATTTGCAAAGCTAGAAATGAGTTATAATATTAACGGAGCAACATATATAAGCGAACAATATTGTTTTCGATTAGATCCTCATTAGGCTTTACTCTAATATACAGTAATATTTATATGCATATACGAAATTATTAAACCAATCAAGGTAGGGTTATCAATAAACTGGATTTCTACTGTCGTTACGTTGATGACACCTTCATCATTGCCGATCAAAATCTTAGAAAAGAACAACTACTGGAACTATTTAATAACAAACACCCTGCTATTAAATTTACATGTGAGGAGGAAATAGATAACAAACTAAATTTTCTGGACGTTTTGTTAAGTAGAAAAGAAGATGGTTCTATCAGCAGGGGTGTGTATAGGAAAAGTTCTTCGCCTAGCCAATACACACATTTTTTAAGCTTTGTGCCTCTTCATTATAAGAGAAACTTAGTCAAATGCCTTGCAAATAGAGCTCTTAAGATATGCTCAGTCGACACTATCGATAGAGAATTACAACACATTCATAATATTTTGATTGAATTAGGATATCCACTGGGTTTCCTGAAGAAACACTTGCGCGTAAAAAACAGGAAAATAGTGACCCTGACGGCTAATAAGAAACCACTTTTCTTGAAACTGCAATTCAATGGTGATGTGGCTAGCGATGTATTACGAGATAGATTGACTAAATCAATAAAGAGAACGTTTAATGCTGCCAACCTCTGCCTATCGTATTCGACCCGATCGATGGTGATTCCGCAATTGAAGGATAAGTTACCTGGTTATGCCACTTCTATGTGTATCTACGAATTCAGCTGCTCCTGTGGAGAAAGCTATATCGGGCGCACTACCAGGCAACTGAACCGATGAGTTAGTGAACACCTCCCTTCGTGGTTAGGAAAAGGCTATGTCAAAACAATACGCAGCTCGGTTCTATCACACTTGATCGATAGCGGTCATATGGTGGACAGAAACAAGTCGTTCAAAGTTATTTATCGGATTCCCACTAGTTTTCCTTATGGTGTTCGATCTCGTCTCTTACACATAGCAGAAGCTATAGGAATTCGAGCCAACAAGCCAAGTCTTTGTGTCCAGAAGAAATTTGTAACTCCCTTATCTCTCCCTTGGCCTTAAGTAATAAATGAATGTATTTATTTATTTATTTATTCTCTTCGTTTATTATTTTTCTTCACACCCTCCTACCACTTTATTTTCTCTCAATTATACGTTTCATGGTCCAATTATCTGAACATTTCTTATTACGTCATATTATAATTTTATAATTGTTATCTCAGTTTCTATATTTTTCTAATCATTGACCTATTTCAGATTATGTAACATTGATTTGAACCTTTATTATTATTGCTTATCAAAAAACTAATGCACCTGTTGTCACACCATCAATTTGTACTTTTCACATTTTACTTATTATGTAATCTTTTCCATTGTTATCATTGACTTATAAACTACCTTGATTGGTTTAATAATTTCGTATATGCATATAAATATTACTGTATATTAGAGTAAAGCCTGATGAGGATCTAATCGAAAACAATATTGTTCGCTTATATATGTTGTTCTAAATTTACAATATGGGAATATTTCAATATTAACGGACTAGCATCATGAAATTATAGAATTGTTATGAACGGCTCAAATGAATGATCAAATTTCTGGAATAGATGAGATGGCTGCAGTAACTGGTTCCAAATAGATTTCAGCAAATAGAACTTCTAACCAACCAAGTAAATATATATTAGGAAGTTACAACTATTGTTTCTGTCCAAGTGACTCACTCAAGATTATATAATTGAGTTAATAAGTTGTCACAAATTAACTAGTAATCATTTCATACACATGATTCCCATTACTGACTGGAAGAGAGCTGGAACAGAATAAAGGAATCCATTTTATTTATTCAAGTTCTCACATTTGCTTACAACCTGTAATGTTTCAAATAAAATTTAACATACTTGTGGATATCAAGCCGATTTAAATTCAGTGTGAAAGCATATCAGTACGATGTTATTTCCAAAACAAAGTTCTAAACTTAAAAAAAATATCTATTTAATTGTCTTCTAGGAAACAGAAGAGAAACGAAGAAATGAATTACAGAAAAAGTTGGCGGATAAACTGGGGAAGTCCAAAAGTAAAGAATTGAAAAGACATGGGATATTTCGGAAGTGATAAAAAAATTTGAGTCGTGTTAATCATAGAAACTTCAACTTGCCTTTTTTCCTGGTTACTTATTAATCGCAGAAGTTGAGATATTGGGAATTCTTTGTTGGGTAGTTGCCTATCGGGATTCAGTAAGTTACAGAAGTAGTTTGCGTGTTAGCAACATTTTGCACTCATACACGATTTGCTTCTATAAGATTCTGTTTCCAACAAAATTTTGATAATCATTCTAAATCGTAGGGAATAATACTCCAGGTCGGATGTAACACAGAAAGCATATTACTCACTTTACTTATGCCTGCTACTGCTCGTAAGCATAGGCTGCCGACCAGAAATCTCCAACCAACATTTTCCTTCCTAGTTGTTCCCAAGTGCTATTCATTCTTTTGATGTCTTCCTGTAATTCTCAGCGCAATGTGTTCTTTGGTCTCCCTCTTTTTCCTTTTGCCTTCAGGACTCCAAGTTAGGGCTTGCCTTATGATGCAATTTAACCATTTACGTAAAGTGTAACCTACCCACTCCCAGCATATTTATGAGTGAATTGATTCTTGTGATTTTAAAAGAGGTGTTCGATATACTCTTTTATAATGTGAAATATTTACTTTCAAGATAAGTGAAGTTGTCAACGCGTTCGACTACTTCATTACCTATCCTCATTTTAGGTGTTAAAGCAGGCCAATCCTGAAGCAACAACTTGCATTTAGAGGGCAAGAAACGCATCCCAAACATTCTGGCATTGTTGCTCAGTGCTACCCAAAGACTCTGCATTTTATCAACGTCTTGATGTGTGATGAAATCTCAGCACGGATTCATGAAGCTCGTTTAGCTTTCCTCAACTTACGCCACCTATGGCGAATGAGAGATATCCGTCTATCAATTAAGGGGAAGAGTAAACTGTGCGGCAGTCCGTTCTGTTCTAATTTACGGCTGCGAAACATGGCGATTAAGAGTAGAAGACACTCGTAAGCTACCAGTACTTGACCATAGATGCCTTAGAAATATTACTCGCATCTTCTGGGATCACCGGGTAAGTAATAGTGAGGTTAGACGCAGAGTATCAGGGAATGATGGTAAATCAGTTGATAAGGTTGTGAATCTTCATCGACTGAGATGGTTGGACCAAGTGTTACGTATGCCTGAACACCGACTACCACGACGTGCAACACTAACCGGTGTTGGAGATGGTTGGAAGAAAGTTAGTGGTGGCCAAACCAAAACGTGGCATCAGTGCTTGAAGTCACTAACTTCTAGTCTGAGCCATGTTGGTAGATGCAGACTACTTGGTTGGGGTCCGCGTGACTATCGTATCCAATGGCTGGAGACTCTTTGTGACATGGCTCAGAATCGATCACAATGGCGTCGGTGTATACACTCCCTGTCTTCCCTTAAACTAAGAGATTAAAATCGCTTCATATCTTTCTTTCTACGAACCAATTCTTTCTTCTTGTACTATATCTCTATATGCAATCTTTCTCTTATGTATTACCACCTTTGACCTAACCACTGCTATGAATCCGGTGTTCATCTTGTTGTGCTGTGATGCGGTATGGCAACCTGGACCGATGCATATATGTGCCTGGTCCTACGTTGTAGCTGACTGACTGACTGCAGCCTTAGTAAAAATATAAATGCAATTATGATAAGTAAAACTAGTCTTAGTGACAGATCCTCACCATAATTCCCGATGAATTAGTACGAGCGATTCAGCACATGGTTATTTTTTTATTAGTAGAGAAATTAATATAAAGTTTCACTAGTCTTCAGAAACGACTATATAATTATCTCCAGTCCGATTTTTGAATCATACCGTAGTGTATAGTAACCGAAATCAGTGATACAGCTTGAAGTGGTTAACTGAAATGAGACTCAGGATGTATTGCCCATACAGTTTCATACTATCCATGTATCGCAAAATAAATTTTGATACAGATAAACTTTTACCAATTAAAAATAATTAAGTTCTACAGAATTTTCAGTCAGTTCAACAACAAGAGTCGATCTTCACGTGATGAAAGATCTCTTGAGTTTTCGGTATGAAGCGTAAGGCGGCAGAAACATGTACACAGAAGGTACTGACTCATTGTATTTGGAACCGTTTGAAGACAATCAAGATTGTTTCCTACTGATTATCACCGGTCAAAAACATTAAAACTTCGGTTTACAAATAAATATACTATGAACATTACGCTTAACTCTATATAAGCGGAAATACTTTATGCGATTGTTTCTTAAACCATTCGATCGGCATTAGCACTTGTCAGGATTTTGATGCTTGAAAAGTGTCTATACAATTAAGGTGATTAAAATAGTTTTACTTGAATATTACCACACTTCACTATATTCTTTATTTATGTACATTTAAAAAAGCAACTCGATCGTCGTATTATGCATACTAAATAAACCTGTTTTATTTTACATGGAGTGTTTTTTATATTACACTGAACTATACAAAAAATAATCGAAGATGGTAAAGTAAAAATCAAGTATGATGGAAACACCAAAAAGTTGAAAATACAGAAATTATACATTAAGTATGCAAGATCACATTGAAAATTTACTTCTTTTTAAAAAATTACAGTAATTGACAAATTTACAAAAAAAGAAACTTATTTTAGAAAGACTAACTGTATGGTAGAGGCTAAAAACATGGATATCTGTGTAGTGAAGAGTCGACCTTTTAGTGGATAGTCTTAAATCACGATGTTACATTATCCGTTGAATATGTTTCATTTAAATGTGGATTCATACTAAACTGTTCTAGAAAGGCTTGTTTAACAGACATCACATGCCGTGCAAGACGTACAGCATCATTCCAGCGTAAACCAACTAGTCTATGCAGAACTGGTAAAGTTAATAACATAAATGCTTGCCCATCTACAGCTTCCGCTGCAAGCCATGGCCACATTTCTCGACAATCGGTACTGCCAAGATATGAAGCTAAGTCAACAGGTGTCCAAAACATAGGATTGCTTGGTAAAACTACTCTTGGAATATTGCAGAGCCATGAGTCAATATCTCTTTCCATTAGTGGAATATGGTTTGGAGGTAGTTGTGCGGTAACTGGACTGTTACTGTGTGAAGAATTTGGAATGTTGGGTACGGTTAAGCAGTAACTTGATGGGGCGGCTGATAAATGATTCAGGTGCCATGAATGCTGCAAGTTAGGGACAGTAGGGGTGTGTACATTTTTCGGGGTATCAAAGGCAGCAGTACACGCGGGATGGCTGTGTGATTCACGAATGGATGATGTCTGATGGTTTACCATAATTGTATCTGAACTAATGATACGCTTTTTGCCTGCTGGATTGACAAAGTTGGAGCGGACAGATCTTTTGGATCCAGTACGCCCGTTGTTAATGTTTTTGAAACCATTCGAGATATTTTCATTACCATGTTCCATGGAGTTTCGTGAGTAGTTTTGATGTTTTCGTTTGGCTCTGTTCACAAGGTTATTATTCTTTGAATTAGGAACTTTGCAACTATTTGACTGAAAAAAGGATTGGGACTCAAGCTTATTAACCCAATTTAAATTGTTTTGTAATGTTGATGTAGATCGAGTGACATGACTGTTGGGAGCACTCGAAATAATGCGATTCTGATCACTATCAAGATAGAAAGAGTCAGTAAATGCACGTAAGGCAGTTAGACGCCTTTTCCATCCTGGAAGACGATCAAAGTAA